TGATTTTGCACTTGCGGAATACATGTCCAAAATAACTTTTTGCCAGTGATGGGTATAAAAACAACAAACAGCAGATATATTAGGTACATGATGTTCGACCCGTGAAGGTCCGGGTTAGAATATTGATCTTCAGTAACCCAAGCCGACAGTCGTAAGAGGCGACTAACGGGATCGGGTGGCCAGGCTCGCTGACTTGGTTGGTACATGTCATCGTTTCCCAATAGCGCAGATCAATGCTCATCACTGGATTGTCTGGTCCAGACTCGATTATTTACAGACCGCCGCCATATAGCTGGAATATTGCTGAGTGCGGCGTAAAACTAAACTCACTCACTCACATGATGTCCATTGCCGTGTACCGTATTGGCATTTAGTGGACTGTCCCAGATTTGGAATTCATCGTTTTCATTTGGGAATTAACGGACTGCAGAGTAGCTTTACTAGAGATATCGTAGGTTGTCTGGATTTGTGATGGCGTTTGGGGATATGTGGTACGTCTACTGGATATAAGATAGATTTACTTGCTTTGTGACAGATTAACTGGATATATGGTACGTGTACTCGATATGTGGTAGTGGATATATGTCGTACCTTTACTGGATGTAGGGAAGCTTCACTGGATATAAAGTACGTTTTCCTCACACATGGTGGGGTGGTAGGGTTGCCTAGTGGTTAAAGCGTACACTCGTCACGCCGAAGACCCGGGTTCGATTCCCCACATGGGTACAGTGTGTGAAGCCCATTTCTGGTGTCCTCTGCCGTGATATTGCTGGAATATTACTAAAAAGGCGTAAAACCAAACTCACTCACTCTTTCCCAACACATGGCACGTTAACTATATATGGATAGATGGTACGTTCTCTTGACACAAGTGGTACGTTTACTCTATATATGTTAGCTTTACTGGATATATATGTTAGCTTTACTGGATAGATGGTACGTTCTCTTGACACAAGTGGTACGTTTACTCTATATATGTTAGCTTTACTGGATAGATGGTACGTTCTCTTGACACAAGTGGTACGTTTACTCAATATATGTTAGCTTTACTGGATAGATGGTACGTTCTCTTGACACAAGTGGTACGTTTACTCTATATATGTTAGCTTTACTGGATAGAAAGTGCGTTTACGGGATATACGGTAGCTTTACTGGATATGTGAATGCTTTACATGATATATGGTAGCATCACGAAGAACGTGATAGCTTTCTTATATATTTGACAGCTTTACAAAATATATGGTAGTTTTTCGGGATAGATAGTACCTTTTCTTAATGCATGGGGGATAGCGCAGTAGTTGGAACAGTGAAACAAATGCACGTGCGGTTCGTGATGAGCGTTAACTTAGACCAACTCTACTTGTTCTCGGTGTTTCATTTAATGTGCATACCCCCTTGTAATACAAACCAATAATAGCGATTTGAAACTATGATCGTTTGTTAAACAACTTTTATCCTAAGTTGAATAAAATTCTGAGATTTAAATGTTCAGTTGGCAAGGTAAAATTATGAGGATTCGCAATCTTAATTACTTAATTTACTTTATTCGATTTACATTTTGTTTAAATTGAAATTTATCGGTACGTTGACTGCAAACAGACTATACACTCTATGCGTATATGCCTTTTTTGCGTTTGTTGATTAACGCTCCAATCGGCTATATCCCAGCGGTCTGTAAATAATCAAGTCTGAACCACACAATGCAGTGATTGGCAATGCGAGCGTCGATCTACGTAATCGCATTAGATGGCAGGCATCAGTCATATCTCCGATCCTGACCCCTGATCCCGTTAGTTGCTTCTTACTACATGGGGAGTTAAAGGTCCAATCTAATCCGGCTCTTCCAGGGCTAGATAGCTTACAGGGGATACTGGGTATATCATAGCTTTCGGATAAGTATGGTAACGTTGCTGGATATATAAACACTATTCATGTAGCTTTACAAGATACATGAGGTACGGTGGGCTAGCCTAGTGGGTAAAGCGTTCGCTCATCACGCCGAATTCGCAGACCCGGGTTCGATTCCCCACATGGGTACAATGTGTGAAGCCCATTTCTGGTGTCCCATGTCATGATATTGCTTGAATATTACTAAAAGCGGCGAAAAACTAAACTCACTCAATCAGCATGTCACTGCTTAATGAATACACGAAACAGTTTTATATATAGAGGAATAGCCCGTTTTAGTGTTTATCCTCGATAGCTTTGTTGGCTATAAGTTTCGCTGAATTTGTACACCTTGTTAGTTTGACCAACTGACACACAGCCGTGTAGGTCTGGTTTGTCTGCTCCGGGATTCGACCACTGCGCACAGACAGTGTACCGAGCCCGAACTCGTGTGTTTAACCAACAGGACACCAGCAGTCTAAATGCCCACCATCATGGAACAGGAATTTGTCTTTAATCCAGCGGGGGAAGTCATATAGTGTTAGAATTGAAAATCTTTGGTTTTTGCGGCCATCCTGGACGCCATCTTCGATTTTCAGGAAAATTGGCTAAAAAATTTGGGCACCCCCCAAAAATATGTTTTATCATGATGTTCCCGAGCACTTTGCAAAGTTTCATGATTTAGTCCGGCGTGTAACGATCAATTTCAAAATCGGGCCTAAGCCACGGCACTATTGTGATACAAGCCACAATCTGCCTTCCTACAAATACAAACTTACACTAAGTAGCAAACATACAATCCCACATTTAAACATGTCTTCGCGTATAACCACACGGCTTAATAATGCCGGGAGCTGCAGACAAATCCAGGGTGGAACTACCCGGAGTATGTAAGAGGCTTGCCCGTTGATGATCGCTCAGGCAAATGGAGATATTCGATTACGTTCAGAACAGGTCGTTATCCGATACTAATATTCCTTGAACATAAACTTTATACGTTTATTTATTCATGATTCCACCGCTATCATTATTTGACATCGGTATTTATGAACAAAACATTACTACTTTGATATGTACACCCAAACCGGTTATACTAGATTTAAGAGATATATCGGTTCAGGTTTATTGATTGGATTCATGTTTAGTCAAAGTCTAACACAACTGATCTAGTTTGAGGTATGTTTTGGTTGGGGTTTTTCCCAACGTGTCTTTCATTAGCGTTGACAGGCAGTGTTCACTGTTTGTCGAGTATAGATAGCCAACTGGAAATGTCGCCCAGCGCTCCTCATTATAACGCTCGTGACCAGTAGGTGTATATGAGTATCGTATAACACCTGTTTTGACTATACACTACCGTATACCCCTTGGTATAGGGACAAACTATAGGATAACAGCCATCTGTGTTATTCCATCGATACAATCCTCGCGTTATTTTCGCTATACGCTGATGATTATCATAAATGCTGTCAATATAGTCGGCAGTGTGAATGAGTATGGTTTTATGCCGCTGCCAGAAATATTCCTAGTGTCACATCAGGAATCACCAGATATGGGCTTCACATATTGTACCCATGTACGATTCAATGTAGTATGTAGAAAGATGGCGTTCTAGCAATGATAAAGATTAACTGGAATTGAAAAAATCGTGTTGTGTTTGAAGATGCGGAGGTAGCTGAGGAAGATGTAGGGGAGGAATTGAAATTAGTAATGAGCTGCTGTTTAGGCCACCTTGAGCCTTATGTCGTGTTTTATCTCGACAGTCTTGTTTGTTTACACAGGTCGTACACATTTGAAGCCATAGTCTCATTTATGTAGGAGCGAGTCGGGATTTACGCCGCTTTTAGCAACATTCCATCAATATCAAAGCAGGGGTCACCATTGATGGGCTTTACACATTGTACCTGGAACCTGGGAATCGAACCTGGGTCTTGGGCGTGAAGAGCGAATCATTTAACCATTAGGCGACCCCGACGCCCTCAAACTAGGGAGATATGTTGCATATAAATCACGAGCCTCTCAGCTGTACGCTGTTCTGATAACAACACTCTTCTCACTGTCTCATTTAATCCAGACAGCTAACAGTCACACCACGAGCCTCTGTGATGACAACACTCTTCTCACTGTCTCATTTAAACCAGACAGCTAACAGTCACTCCACGAGCCTCTGTGATGACAACACTCTTCTCACTGTCTCATTTAAACCAGACAGCTAACAGTCATACCACGAGCCTCTGTGATAACAACACTCATCTCACTCTCTCATTTAAACCAGACAGCTAGCAAATATACCACGAGCCTCTGTGATAACAACACCCATCTCACTCTCTCATTTAAACCAGACAGCTAACAGTCACACCACGAGCCTCTGTGATAATAACACTCATCTCACTCTCTCATTTAAACCAGACAGCTAACAGTCACACCACGAGCCTCTGTGATAATAACACTCATCTCACTCTCTCATTTAAACCAGACAGCTAGCAAATATACCACGAGCCTCTGTGATAACAACACCCATCTCACTCTTTCATTTAAACCAGACAGCTAGCAAATATACCACGAGCCTCTGTGATAACAACACCCATCTCACTCTTTCATTTAAACCAGACAGCTAACAGCCATACAACGAGACTCTGTGTTGTACGGGGTAGCCAAGTGGTTAAAGCGCTCTCTCGTCACGCTGAAGACCCGGGTTCGATTCCTCACATCAGTACTATGTCTGAAGTCAATTTAGGGTGTCTCGCACCATGATGTTGCTAGAATATTGCTAAAGTTCACTCACTCACTGTGTTGTACTTGTTCTGATATCAGCGCTGATCTATCCTCTAAACTGAATCAGGGAGCTACGGTACACATCTACCACGAACCTCCAAGTTGTGAATTGTTCAGATATCAGCATTCCTCCATTGTCTCGTTTAAACCAGGTAGTTATGATACACATGCACCACGAGCCCCCATGTTGTACGTTCTGATATAAACGCTCATCGACATTTATCGTCCCATTACAGAGACACGGTAGAGACATACCACGAACCACTATGTTGTGATCTACTCGGATATAAACGCTCCTCCGTCGTTCCACTCCAACAAGGGAGATACGGTACAGATGTTCCACGAGCCTCCATGTTGTGCGTTGATCTGCTATCAGCGCTCATCTAACGTTGGGGACGTGCGGCTGACATGACGATGGTGATAACGTCATCGACACTCGCGGGTCACTGCTCACATACACACAGCCCTGCCCCCACCGGTATCCCGCATTCCATCGGCAAACCCTACACCCCGGTCTTGTGTTAAACCCTACAGATAGCTGGGTGCAGCTGGTTATGGCAACAGACGCTCAGTGGCGATTGTTTCTGACCAACAACCAGAAAACACCTCTGTAAATACTCTGGAGCGGCGTGATTGGATTTACCTGTCTAACGGGATACTTATCACAGGTGAGACAGGTGAAGGAGATCCTGGACACTCGACGTCACCATGGCAACTGTGCCAAATGTGCAGGTAAGCCATCTGAGGGTTTGACGACATTTGGAAGAATCAGATGTTGACAGAATCGTCATATCAGGAACAAGATCTTGTGTTCCTTCTAATCGTTCATCATCCCGGGTGTTGTCAGATTGAATGCATTTTATTTGGATCACTAGACCGACTTTGCTGACAGCGAAAAGAGACTGTTCCAATCTAATGTTTAGGATTGCAGATATTTTAATGTATTTTTATATAAATGCTGTGACAAAGAAAATGAAGGGAATAAAGACAGATATGTTTATGTAAAACACTAGTCTCGTTTTGAAGAAGCATGTCTTAGTTTATTAAATTCAATGTGCAATTTTACTGATACCTCCACCACTGTGTAATGTCAGTCCCGCCTTACATATGTAGTCAATCTAAACACGACGCTGTAAATACATATAGGTTCTATTTATCTAAAAAGAAAACCGTGAATTGATTTCAAGTGAGTCGATATTTTGATTTAAAGCCAGTGTATAAATATGTCACTTCCACAGCTACCTAATCGTGTTGTGGCGATATCGGGGTGAGTACTCGTCCAATACCCCCGCATACATCCCGCTAGACACAGTGTGGCATTATCTCTTGGGGTGACGTGAGATTGTCAAACATGACTGCCTATCTGGAGGATTTAGACAACAATGAAGCCATTAGTGTACAGTAATCGCTGGCGGGATTGACCTACTATTAAGGATATGTTAATGTTAATGTACAGAGCAGGGTTTTTTATTGTCATAATCAATAATTACTATCTTCTGTATTCTTTTGTTTGCGGTTTTACCTGAACACCTATAGATCGTAACGTGGCATTTGATGAATTGCCTTTTACCTAACGCACTTTGTGTACTCTAACAGAGACAATTGAGTGATTGATTAGCTAAATGAAAGCGCCAATACTCTTCAAACTACCACAAGAAATCTTTAAAAGCAGAGTCGTTTGCAACTTATCATGAGCATGTGTTATAAATTACTTTCAAATAGTGATGGCATCAAGTGCTCACGGATCCATTGGTGATACCCAAGCGAATACAGCCCATAATTAGTACGAATACGTAATACTGTTATCATAAGATAATATCATATCCAGTCAATAAGCTGGGACGATGGATGCCACGAGGTTCTGAAATTCTGCTCTTGGAATGTGCTTCGACTGTTTTTTGCTGTTGTGTTTTGGGTGGGGTTCTTTTGGGATGGGACAATTTACACGACTATTTCAATATAGCGAGGGTATGTTTTTCACTTTTATTTTCTTTATCATACCTTTTTATGATAAGCCATGCTACATGTAGTATATACATTTCATATACATGATGGGACCGTGGGTCTGTCATCTGACAACAGGGGCGGTCTCGCTGAAGACCCGTGTTCGATTCCCCATATGGGTGCAATGTGTGAAGCCCATTTCTGGTGTTCCCTTAAATGCTAATATTGGTGAAATATTGATAAAAAGCGGCGTAAAATCATACTCACTTACTCACTCACTCAACTCACAATACGCCAAGACGAGTGGTTGTGTGGGGGTCATATTTTCACCCTGTGCCTATCTCGGATGCTTGACCACTGTCCTGGTTATTGAATAGCATTATCACCGAGAGTGTTGCGATTATCGCCGCTATTATATCATATTACCTCTATAGTTCCACTGCCACTCTATGTTTTACTGACAATGTAATGCATTTGCAGTACTTTTCAAACGTTTAACCATCCATATTAGAATACATCTCTGTAACTACATTACATATCATTTTGGGGGCTTTGTTTCTTGATTCACGCTGAATTCTTTTACGTTCAGGGTTACGAGTTAACTAATGTACAAGTTACGAGTTAACTAATGTACAAGTTACGAGTTAACTAATGTAATGTACAGAGTTAACTAATGTACAAGTTACGAGTTACGAGTTAACTAATGTACAAGTTACAAGTTAACTAATGTGTACAAGTTAGAATGTACAAGTTACGAGTTAACTAATGTGTACAAGTTAACTAATGTACAAGTTACGAGTTAACTAATGTACAAGTTACAAGTTAACTAATACAAGTAACTATGTTACGAGTTAACTAATGTAAGTTAACTAATGTACGAGTTAACTACAATGTTAACTAATGTAAGTTACGAGTTAACTAATGTACTAATGTACAAGTTACGAGTTAACTAATGTACAAGTTAAGTTAACTAATGTAAGTTACTAGTTACAAGTTACAAGTTAACTAATGTACATGTTACGAGTTAACTAATGTACAAGTTACGAGTTAACTAATGTACAAGTTAACTAATGTACAAGTTACAAGTTAACTAATGTACAAGTTAACTAATGTACAAGTTACGAGTTAACTAATGTACAAGTTAAGTTAACTAACGAGTTAACTAATGTAGTTACAAGTTAACTAATGTAGTTAACTAATGTACAAGTTAACTAATGTACAAGTTACAAGTTAACTAATGTACAAGTTACGAGTTAACTAATGTACAAGTTACGAGTTAACTAATGTACAAGTTACGAGTTAACTAATGTACAAGTTACGAGTTAACTAATGTACAAGTTAACTAATGTACAAGTTACGAGTTAACTAATGTACAAGTTACGAGTTAACTAATGTACAAGTTAACTAATGTACAAGTTACGAGTTAACTAATGTACAAGTTAAGTTAACTAATGTACAAGTTACGAGTTAACTAATGTACAAGTTACAAGTTAACTAATGTACAAGTTACGAGTTAACTAATGTACAAGTTACGAGTTAACTAATGTACAAGTTACGAGTTAACTAATGTACAAGTTAACTAATGTACAAGTTTAACTAATGTACAAGTTACGAGTTAACTAATGTACAAGTTACGAGTTAACTAATGTACATGTTACGAGTTAACTAATGTACAAGTTAACTAATGTACAAGTTACGAGTTAACTAATGTACAAGTTAACTAATGTACAAGTTAACTAATGTACAAGTTACGAGTTAACTAATGTACAATGTACACGAGTTAACTAATGTACAAGTAACGAGTTAACTAATGTACAAGTTACGAGTTAACTAATGTAGTTAAGTTAACTAATGTACAAAGTTAACTAATGTACAAGTTACGAGTTAACTAATGTACTAAGTTAAGTTAACTAATGTACAAGTTACGAGTTAACTAATGTACAAGTTTACAAGTTAACTAATGTACAAGAATTAACTAATGTAAGTTACGAGTTAACTAACAAGTTAACTAATGTACGTTAACTAATGTAAGTTAAGTTAACTAATGTACAAGTTAAGTTAACTAATGTACAAGTTACGAGTTAACTAATGTACACGAGTTAAGTTAACTAATGTACGAGTTAAAGTTACGAGTTAACTAATGTACAAGTTACAAGTTAACTAATGTACAAGTTAAGTTAACTAACTAATGTATACTAATGTACAAGTTACGAGGTTAACTAATGTACAAGTTACGAGTTAACTAATGTACAAGTTACGAGTTAACTAATGTAGTTAACTAATGTACAATTAACACGTTGAGTTACAAGTTAACTAATGTACAAAGTTAACTAATGTACAAGTTACGAGTTAACTAATGTACAAGTTACGAGTTAACTAATGTACAAGTTACGAGTTAACTAATGTACAAGTTACGAGTTAACTAATGTACAAGTTACGAGTTAACTAATGTACAAGTTACGAGTTAACTAATGTACAAGTGGATCTATTGCCAGGTGCCTCGTGCATGTAGCCGAGAGAAGAAAATGGTCAGCCGGAAAGTGAAACCCCAGAGCAGATTCTGTTCATCACACAAGTGGATGGGGCGAGGCGAGAGGAAACGGATGACAAGATAGAAGTACCGTTTGAAGACGACGACTTAGGTATGAAATCAAACGCCAGTGTTTGTTTGTTTTTTAAAGACGCACTCAGCAATATTCCAGCTATATGGCGGCGGTCTGTAAATCTTCGAGTCTGAACCAGACAATCGAGTGGTCATAATCATGAGCATTGATCCAAGTAGTTGGGATACGATGACACGTGTCAACCATGTCAGCGAGACTGACCACCCGATCCCGTTAAGCTGAAGACCAATTCTAACTCGGATCTTCACGGGTTACAAACGTCAGTGAGAACATGTAACATGTTGCACGAATATCTACACGGAAGGGGAATAGCATCTCTCTGACACTGTGGGGAAAACACGGGTACAACGCTGTAGCAATCAGCTCACTGGAAAGACGTCAATTTTATAACATTTCACTTTGGTATTATTTACACTTTATATGGAGCGAAACCACTACCGGAATCATTCAGATGGAAAGGCTTTAGTTTGGTATTATTACACTCTATACAAAATAGATGATAGTCTCATTTCTTTTCTTTACTAAACGTACACACATAAATGCATTGTAAGTAACGTCGAAGTCTGACTTGCAAACATGTCGTTTGACAATACGTTACCTTCTGCCACTTTCGAACAGACGATGGTGACCCATGTGCTAGAAAAATGACTTTTGTCTCATGGCTGTGTAAAACAAACAATACACAACGCAGTGCATACGAGGAAATAATTAGCTGTTAACGAATAAGTCCATCGACGATCGATACAGGCATCAGTCAAAATATCACAGCCTGTCAGCTTAATCCTTGTACCTATGAACTTCGACTTGTCAGCGCTTTGAGCATTGTCCTTGTGTGTTGGAAGTCAGAGCTATGTAAATACTCTTATTATTATCATTATTAATCCGATTATTGGGTGGAGATAACCAAACTAGCAGAGATTTATGCTTTTGCTCCTTTGTAACACAGGAGCACATACCTGGACCTGACGAGCCTCGAATCAAAATTCGAAATATGAAAATCTTAAATATTGTTTCTAAGTGAAGCAACTACTGGTGTCAATTGCCGATGACCATCCTTGGGAATCATGTTGACCAGTACACGTGTATTATTTCCACGTTATGTCATTCAGAGATACAACGAGAAAAGTTGGACCTCGACGAGATTAAGCGAGAGTTGTATCAGAGGGAATGCAGGAGACTGAGGGTGACGCCTATCGGGGCGTTCGTTCGCAACCCCACCAAAACTCAGCTAGATCTGAAGTACTACTCCATGGGACCAGATGGCGCTAAGGCACTTGCTGTTCCACTGATGGTGAGTGCCAACGCCCAAATACTCCCTTGAGCTCAACCAAAGTCTAAAAGTCTGGTTTTGTGATCAACATGTCTGTAGTTTATCAATTTAAAGGCGTCTGACCCTCCACTACAAACAAATATGTTAAGGTAAAGTTTTAAAAAGAATCTAATTCAAATGGTGATGTCTTTGTCTTCAGTTGGATTCGTCCTTGACTCGCCTTGACCTCGAGGGCAACTGTATCGGACCGGCAGGACTTAGCAGTCTGGTTGAAACACTCGCAGACAACTGTTGCCTTGCACAAATAGTACGGTAGTATATTGGCACATTTAAATTACTCAAAGAATTGGGCCACAGAAGTCAAAATTCACGGAGCGGAGTCACGTCCCTTAGTTCGTGACATAATCCGGTTACTTTCTGTGACTTTCTGATTACTATTGTTTTGTCAGCACCGTGTTGTAGCGTTTCATCAAAGAGCGTAATATCTAGGACGTGCATTTAATTCGGCTCGTCTCCAACACGAAGCAACCTCCTCCGTGGTGTAGTGGTTAGAGCGTCCGCCCGGAGAGCGGAAGGTCGCGGGTTCGATCCCCGACGGCGTCATACCAATAGACGTTAAAATATGGTACTTGTTGGTCCCTGCCTGGCGCTCGGCATTAATGGGTACAACAAGGACTGGTCGGCTCGGAGTCAGTATAATGTGTCTGAGTGGGGTATTCATGCTTCACTGCGGCATGGTATCTCAGTGGGCTAGCACTATAAAACCAGCTTAGGTCTGGGCTAGTACAAGCAGCCGCATATACACATACACACGCGTGCACGTCGTCATATGAGCGAAATATTCTCAAGCACGACGTTAAAACCCAATTTCACCTCACCTCACCAACACGAAGCTTACAAACTGTGACTTAATGAATGAAATATTGTAAGCTCTCTCACACACTCCCTCAAGGAATGGATTATTATAGATGAACCGAACCACTGAAAAGCAGGTCCATTGAACAAAAGAAATAGCACGGTTTTGAAAACATTATTAATTTCTTTTTTACAGAGATTCCAGTTGAAAATGGACACTTTCTTACATCCGATATCTCATATCATTGTCGTATCAAAGTATTATGTCCGACTCCGAGAAGCATAGGTAGTCAATGTATAATTGAATGGTATAGGTAGGCATCGTTCAATGATCATCTCGAGAGTGTTTATACACATCACGTATTGTGATATAGTCAACGTTAATGTTGATTTCCTTCCAGAGTTTGGCGAACAATCATCTCGGCAGTGTTGGAGCCAAACACGCCGCCAGCCTCATGATGAAGAACCAGTACATCTCAAGTGTAAACCTCTCAGGTCAGTTGGTGATATATGGACATATATGTCCCTCCTGTCATAACTGGTCCAACGTTTATCAGATGGTATATGGACACACATGTTTCTCAAGTGGTTTGTGCAGATACCATCCTCTCGGTATGGAAGCGTATAATAAATAAATACTGTCATCTGCCGGGCAGATACCTTTTTTTACCTTCTACTTTCTACGTAGAAGATATTTCACTTTTATGTAGACGATACTTACATTTACATGTATAGGGTCATGATGGCATGGAAAGATATATTTTATACACTCACTTAGATTGAGACACTTTGCCATTATTTGTGCAAAATGCAATAATAATAATTAGACAACATTGATACACAAAGCATACTCACAATGCCTCGCTTTGAAGTTATTTAATGCTGTTTATGTTTAAAGGAATATATGATACACATTAAAATGGGAGCTTTGCGTTTACCTGCCGTGCCGATTACAAGACATGTTAACTACCTGACGGCATTAATTACCCTTATTAATATACGCTATGTGTTTAAGATTACTTATTGAATGAGCTGCTACATTAGATATGCATAAACATTATTTAAGATAGTTAGTTTACTAACCTGATGAAAATTAAGTTGACGCCTATGCTTGTCTGTCTCTCACACAAGTTTTGTCAGTTGTGTCAGGGTGCGAGGTGTTCAGGCATAGAAAAAGCATGCAGGTTTGAATGGACCAATCGTAACGTGTTGTCACGGTTGGGTAGACACTATTGGTTGTGTTACTAATCCTCTGAGGACGAGGTATTATCTACTCTTTAATTATCGACTTAAGGAGTAAACATATTTTAACCCATAATAGAGAACAGTTTCGGGTCTTATTTTCGGCGTGATTAGCGAAGGTTTTAACCACTAGGCTACCCCGACAAGAGTTAGCTTAAGTTACATACATACATACATACAGACATACAGACATACAGACATACATACATACATACATACATACATACATACATACATACTTACATACATTGTATATATAATAATATATAAACATACATATACATTTTCACTGTATGAGAGAGTAACGCACGATTACAGTATCGTATATGAAAATGCGAAAGTCTTATGCGTAGATGAAAGTATAGTAACATTACTAGCACTGAGGTGAGTACATATGTTTTATGGTGTAATTCTATCCCTTGACAGAGGCTTTCACAAATTTATTGTTTTCATTACACGTGGATATTGAACACGTTAATCAAACCGTCAAAGCCTTAGAAGTTAATATCTCTGCACATAAAACAAACAGGTTTAAGCAGGATCGGCACAATATATTCAACTTGAGCTGTGTTAGCTCAGTGTGTATAGATGTGTCAGCTAACCCAGCATAAATATGTCAGTTAACATGGTAAATGTGAATGTTAACCTAATATATATGTGTCAGTTAACCTAGTACAGTCGTGAAATAATATAGCACAGATGTGTGAGCAACTTTCCTAGAACAGGTCTGTCGGATGTACATCATCTAATCTGGTACTATTGTGTCAGCTCATCACGTACAAGTATAGTACCTAATCTGGTACCGGTGAGGCACCTTGCCTAGTAGATATATCTACCGGACTGAGTGAGTGAGTTTGGTTTTACGCCGCCTTTAGCAATATTCCAGCAATATCACTGGGGGACACCAGAAATGAGCTTCACACATTGTACTCATGTGGGGAATAGAACCCGGGTCTTCGGCGTGACGAGCGAAAGTTTTAACCAATAGGCTACCCGACCGTCCCATATCTACCGGAACTAAATATGCTGTATACCGTTTCAGGAAACGGGTTCCGCGACATAGATGCACCAGCATTCGGGCTCGTCATAAGGGTACGTCATTCTGATTGATTGTCTTGCATGAAATACACTTCAAACAAAACGGTAATACGACGGTGACAACAACAGATGGCCCCTGGAGGTGGTAGTAACTTTTGTTCTGTCTGTGTATACAGGAATCCAAACACGTCAAGGAACTGGTATTGTCCAACAACGAACTTGGAGACATGGCAGGGAGAGAACTTGGAGAGGCTCTAGGTAGGTTCCAGTTACATCAGCATCCATGGGTGGGTGGGTCAGTAGTACAAGCTGCGGCATGAAATGTGTCGATACTGCGTTGTCTGCTACTCTTACACTTGGTGTGGTTGGACAAGTACTCCAGGTGCTTGTATCAGATGGTTGTCCAGTATACCACCAGGCCGACATCACGTGAATGTTTGTTTGTTTGTTGCTGACGTTGAAGACGACGACTTAGGTATGAAATCAAACGCCAGTGTTTGTTTGTTTTTTAAAGGCGCACTCAGAAATATTCCAGCTATATGGCAGCAGTCTGTAAATAATCGAGTCTGGACCAGACAATCCAGTGATCAACAGCATTGGCATCGATCTACGCAATTGGGATACGATGACATGTGTCAACCAAGTCAGCGAGCCTGACCACCCGATCCCGTTTGTCGCCCCTTACGACAAGCATGGGTTACTGAAGCTAAACAAAACTAATCCAATCCGACACGTCACCCGGCTTCACATCCCTTCACTCCCACAGTCTGTCAGCTACCAGCAAGTAATCAACAGGTCTTCGTAATAATACATGTCACCATGATATATACATGTACTATTGCTAAACGAATGCATCTTGACATTCTACAATGAGCTTGACAGTAGATATTTAGTTTTGGGCGTGCCCTTTGTCCATCCTAGCCGATGGCCCTCTGAACAGCCTTCACAAGATGTTACAAGAACCAGCGTCCTAAAAAATCAATGTTCTTATCTGTGTTCATATCTAACTGTTTCTGGAACATGGCAAGGGTGTGTAGTTGGTGTGAGCTGAGCTGCAATCTCCAAGGTGTATGTTCTCTGTTCCAGTAAGTAACGACACCCTCGAGCACCTTGACCTCAGCTGGAACCACATCAGGAACGCCAGTGCAGCGAAGCTATTCGGTGGTGTTAAGGTGGGCCTGTATTTGTCACTAGGGTTTTGCCATCATGAAAGTGGGGCACATGTTACTGCTATTGTTCCCATAAATTGTGTTCATGTCTGTGGTTGGTTGAATGGTTGTTTAACGCCGCACTCAGCAATATTCCAGCTACATGGCGGCGCTGTGTGAGTAATCGATTCTGAACCTGACAATCCAGTGATCAACATCATGAGCATCGATCTGCGTTATGGGATACGATGACATGTGTCAACCAAGTCAATGAGCCTGACCACCCGATCCCGTTAGTCGCCTCTTACGACAAGCATGGGTTGCTGAAGACCAATTCTAACCCGGATCTTCACGGGTCCATGTCTGTGTATACTCCGCCAAACATTACACCTGCATGAGAACTGTTAATGTTAATATGGAAAGGCGAAATGCTGATGCCAATTCAACTTGAAGGATAGGATATCACCATCATCAAAATATACAGCACACTGTCCAAAGCACCCGCCTTGTTACCGTGTTATGATAAGTCTATTTCTGTTGTTTCGGTGATGTCCCCAATTGACTTTGTACCATCTTAGTGGTTTTTAGGGTTTTACGTAAATTGAAACAAAGTAATACACACTATTCCATGTTCTTCAAAATATGTTTTACAGGGATATATCTGTACACATGACAATCTGCAGCTGGTGCTACTATGTTTTACTTCATGGCTATATCACATGGAAATATATGTAACGCTTAACATGTTTATCAGATGTAAATATGCAAATGTCAAGTTCATGGTCCAGTACACGCGATCCACGTCACTCTCACACTGACGATGATGTTTCCAGGAAAACGTGGGACTACGCCGTCTGAACGTCAGCTTCAACGGCTGCGGCTGTGAGGGCGTGACAGGGGCAGGACTAGCTCTGGCCAGCAACAACACCCTGAGGGAACTCGACTTGTCGAGAAACAGGCTCACAGACGGAGACGTCAAATTCGCTTTGAGCCTCAAGAACAACGACTCCCTGCAGATTCTGCGGGTAATAAAACAATATATATTTGAAGTGTTGTAGTATTCACATTCCGTGGTATGTGACGCTTATGCATTCTGTAATAGTTACTTCTCAAAAGAAAGTTCAGGGACATCCGATTCTAAGGCAATGTCCATCTGCCATGCCAAACCACCGTTATCTTTCATATTGCCATGGTGGGCCTGTCATGTAATATGAAAGAATCTGGTGTTCCCAAACTTCTTTGGAGTTGTACACGTGTAATCTGATTGAACACATACCTGATTGCTGAAAATATGTACTCGACCTGGTTCAGTTCTGCTCTCTTAAACAAATTGTGAGAGCGGCTTACTAACTACACGTGGGGCTCTCTTATAGTGAGAGAGACATACTATGTGAGACTCGGAACATCCTGTGAGAGGTCTGAAACAGCATTAGACCATTAGAAAACATACTCATCTCATCGCACATTGAATAGCAAGGAGCCGTACACATGTGCTTGGAGAGCACTTCCTCAGCATGCATATGAACATTAATTCTTGTCTACACGCAACAGATGAGCGCCAATAGTCAGCGAACACGATGAGCCATATCCCTTTCTGATTCATCTGAATTTCTTTTTCTACAGTTGAGAGACAACTTACTAACGGATGTCGGCGCACTGGCGTTGCTCACAGCGATATACACCGCAGAGGGTTGTGCCGTAGAGGAGGTCGACATCGGGGTAGGTGAGGGTTGTGCCGTAGAGGAGGTCGACATGGGGGTAGGTGAGGGTTGTGCTGTAGAGGGTAGAGGAGGTCGACATCGGGGTAGGTGAGGGTTGTGCCGTAGAGGAGGTCGACATCGGGGTAGGTGAGGGTTGTGCTGTAGAGGGTAGAGGAGGTCGACATCGGGGTAGGTGAGGGTTGTGCTGTAGAGGGTAGAGGAGGTCGACATCGGGGTAGGTGAGGGTTGTGCTGTAGAGGGTAGAGGAGGTCGACATCGGGGTAGGTGAGGGTTGTGCTGAGGGTAGAGGAGGTCGACATCGGGGTAGGTGAGGGTTGTGCCGTAGAGGGTAGAGGAGGTCGACATCGGGGTAGGTGAGGGTTGTGCTGTAGAGGGTAGAGGAGGTCGACATCGGGGTAGGTGAGGGTTGTGCTGTAGAGGGTAGAGGAGGTCGACATCGGGGTAGGTGAGGGTTGTGCTGTAGAGGGTAGAGGAGGTCGACATCGGGGTAGGTGAGGGTGTGCCGTAGAGGTAGAGGAGGTCGACATCGGGGTAGGTGAGGGTTGTGCCGTAGAGGAGGTCGACTTCGGGGTAGGTGAGGATTGTGTCGTAGAGGAGGTCGACTTCGGAGTCCGTGAGGGTTGTGCCGTAGAGGAGGTCGACATCGGGGTAGGTGAGGGTTGTGCCGTAGAGGAGGTCGACATCGGCGTAGGTAAAGTGTAGGTGAGGGTTGTGCAGTAGAGGCTAGGTGAGTTGAACGTGCTCCTATCACACTAACATTACCCAGTGATATGTGTTTTGCCCTAAACTATACTACCCATCAAAAGTTTAGACTCACTTAAAGCATTCACTATATGTTGTGTATGTATATGTGGTCACATCGAAGATTAATTTCTCCACTAATTTGGGAACCAACTGCAAACCTTATGCAGATGAATTGCATGAGGATCATGCTTCAAATTCCTGAAAAGCATGTGCAAATATCATGCATGTGAACAGCTGCGTTTTGCTGTAAAGTTTTGTTAAGTATTCACCGATTTTTCGCTGAGTTTCATCATTTACTGGACTCATGAAAATAATCTTTTCAACGTTACGAATTGGTTTTTCAATACATCAGTTCATGGGTAAACAGCACCTTTAAAATAGTATGGAATATTTTACAAAATCTAGTTTCAAACAGTTGACAGAAATAAGTGGCTAGAGTTACACTAGTGAGTCTAAACATGTGATGGGTAGTATATATAACACTATATTTAACCCACAGCGTGTTCTTTGTTCCGGAATTGTCCCTGTGAGTAGACGGAGTTCCCTGAGTTTCAGTCAAACAACCACACCCATTCTGCCATCTGAAACTCTCTGGGTTAGACATAAAGGAATATTAATGCAAGGCTTACCAGTTTCTTCATTACATTCTCGTCACGATATGGCTGAAATATTGCCGATGTGACGTTAAATAATAACTCACTCACTCACTCACTTCATTACATTCAGTTATGTTCACATGTATTACAGACTACAAGCGTCAACCCAGATTTCATTGACCTCGTCAAAACCATACAAGAGGACAGACCGTTCAAAGTTACACATGGACCTGTGATCGTTGTCAAAGACCACACAAAGTATTCACAAGAAGGTCCGAAAACGACGACTCTGACGCAGAGGAGGAGGACCTGGAAGTCGATGAAGAAGAACCCACAGATCCCGTGGAGGTTCAGGATACGAAAGCTGTGGAAAGATCTGTGTCGTCTGTGATCTAGCATCCTTTGGACCTGTAGGATGTGGTTCAGGAATCTGATGGAGACAGCAAATACTCTAACCTCATAAAATACCAGTGAACGGATAAACCACAGTAATATTTATCTCACGACAGGAGTCCAAGTTAGTCAATGTAGACTCCGTCTCAAGGAGAAAATGGAAGATAGCGACTCGGATATATATTCCTGGGAATAGCTAAACACCCATTGCTATGCATTTGTGTGTTTTAAGCGGAACTCGTGTATCGAGTCCTTAAACTGCTTCCTCTGCGTCATATTACGTGACCCATTAGGTGTGTCCATCTAGATGAACATACAGTGACCTCTCGCCAGTCCTTCATCACCAGTAAACTGTGGTGTCATTTATTAAACTAAGACCACTGACATATGTACAGGTTTCGAAAGTTATATGGACGTTCTGGATACATGAAGGCGTGGTTCAGGGCAGTTTTCAAGTGTATACTTCGGGCGGCGTATGTGTGGGTGGCGCAGGCATGTCCCCAGGTGGTCCAGGAACACATAGGTCATGTGTATAGCATGGGAAGTGGTTGTCCTGCAAACAGTGATCTGTAACATTATGTTCACACGTTCAAGAAGCTACAAGCGTGTGGGTCTTTCAGTCATTGAGACGTGAAATATTTAATAAATGAGTTGGGTGTGCTGTTTTACTCGTAATCTATGCTACAAACCATGACCTCCAAAGTAAGTTGTACCAGAAACAGAGACTAGTGAACAAGGTTTACTCTCACTTTCGGCGATTCTGCAGAAGTTCCAGAAGTCAAGAAAGCTTGTGGTACTGTGAGCCATCAACTGACTTGGTTGACACATGTCATCCTATCCTCAATTGCGTAGATCGATGCTCATTTACCTTTATAGTTGGAATATTGCTGAATGCAGCATTAAAAATGCACCAGCTCAATGTATGCCTGGGGTTTAACATGAACAAGCAAAACAAGTCTGAATTTATTCCATCCATATAATCACAATATATTACATTCAATATAAAAATCAGTATAGAATAGGAACATCTTCATGCTTACATGAATCGTAAAAGGGTAAATGAAAATTGCTTCACTTAAAATATCTAAACATTCACATTCAACCTTAATTCTACATTTAAACCCATTCACTTGCAAACAAACATCAGCCAATATGTCTTACATAACAAAATGTCAACCTTTATCGTCTTAGTAGAAAAATATAATGTTCTGCTGAGATGATATTCCATTACTCGTGAAAATCAAAAACAAATTCCCCCAGTGATTCAGAGTCTGTACATGGTCCCACTACCCAGCAGGAGCCCTACTAAACATGTCGTAACATGCCGGCAATACGGATTCATATCATACCTCGTTAGGATGAGAAAGCCACAATAACTAGGCGCGCCTAGTGGCTGCAAAAGTTGTATACTCCCCAGGGAGTTGAGATTGATAATACGATGTGCCATTGAGATTGACATCCAATGATCAAGGGAAAAAATATCAGCGCCTTGAGCAAGCACTAGTTGCCTGGATATGTGCGCTATATAAGTATCCTATAATAATATAATAATAATAATAATAATAAAAATATCGACCTGCTCAAAGGCTGGTACTGAACTTGATGCTTACAACTAGTGTCAGTAACAAAATCCCAGTGTATGTTATTGAGTGAGTGAGTTTTATGCCACTTTTAGCAATATTCCAGCAAAATCACAGCAAGGGACACCAGAAATGGGCTTCACACATTGTACCCATGTAGGGAATCGAAGCATGTCGAGCGAACGGGTTAACCACTAGGCTACCCCACCGACCCCATTGGTAATAAAAACTGGAGCAAAAATATATACCATATGAAATGATAATCACAATTTCAACAAAGAAAACGGCTTTGTGTTGCCATGTACCATGGAGAATCGAACCCGGATCTTCGGCATGACAAGCAAACTCTTTAACCATTAGGCTACCCTACCTCCCCCTTATGCATGTTATTACAGTAATAACTACTGTTAAAGTTCTGTAGGATTGACATGTTTACACCAATAACAAGGCCAGTAAAGAGGCCTTTTGTCTATCTAGCACACACCACACTGAATATGCTGAATGCTATGTTACAAAACAATTATTGATACTTCTGAACTTAAGAAAATAACGACAACAAAATTCCTAACATGAAAAATATAAAGTCACTATTTATTTGTTATGGCTGCCAAGAACACTTATGTCAATCTGACATAGATCCCAGTGTATTTATTTTAAACATTAGTTAGGGTCACATGTCATCATATCCCAATTGCATCGATGCTCATGCTGTTGATAACTGGATTGTCTGGTCCAGACTCGATTATTTACAGACTGCCACCACATAGCTAAAATATTGTTGAGTGCTACTTAAACCTAAACTAAACCCACTCACTCACTCACTAGGGTCTGCCGTGACATTACAACTGAACCGTGACACCCTACAACAAACACAACCCCACAAAGCCCATGATAACTTAAGGCAGTTGCACACTGGATCACTCCAGCTGTCAGGCAGTATGACTGATAGGGCATGTATATGAGTAGAGCGTTCACCTTGCTTCACACACAAAGAAGGGCAATGCACAGCTCTGACATACATCTTTTAAGGTGAAAGACATCACAGGATGTGACAAAATAATGTACTGAGAAGCTATCACCCTGAATAATGAGAATATATCTTGTCAGATCTGATGAATCTTCAGATGTTGTAGGTGTAATGTATGATGGTTTGGCACTTGACAACCTCTTGGCAACTTGGTAACACACACAGGCCCAACCCCTGCTGATGGTGTACAGTGACACCACCTGACCCAAACCCTGCTGATGGTGTACAGTGACACCAACAGGCCCAACCCCTGCTGATGGTGTACAGTGACACCACCTGACTCAACCCCTGCTGATGGTGCACAGTGACACCACCTGACCCAACCCCTGCTGATGGTGCACAGTGACACCACCTGACCCAAACCCTGCTGATGGTGCACAGTGACACCACCTGACCCAACCCCTGCTGATGGCATACAGTGACACCAACCCCTGCTGATGGTGTACAGTGACACCACCTGACCCAAACCCTGCTGATGGTGCACAGTGACACCACCTGACCCAACCCCAGCTGATGGTGCACAGTGACACCACCTGACCCAAACCCTGCTGATGGTGTACAGTGACACCAACAGGCCCAACCCCTGCCGATGGCATGCAGTGACACAACAGACCCAACCTCTGCTGATGGCATACAGTGACACAACAGACCCAAACCCTGCTGATGGCATACAGTGACACCAACAGGCCCAACCCCTGCTGATGGTGTACAGTGACACCACCTGACCCAAACCCTGCTGATGGTGTACAGTGACACCACCTGACCCAAACCCTGCTGATGGTGTACAGTGACACCAACAGGCCCAACCCCTGCTGATGGTGTACAGTGACACCACCTGACCCAAACCCTGCTGATGGTGTACAGTGACACCACCTGACCCAACCCCTGCTGATGGTGTACAGTGACACCAACAGGCCCAACCCCTGCTGATGGTGTACAGTGACACCACCTGACCCAAACCCTGCTGATGGTGTACAGTGACACCACCTGACCCAAGCCCTGCTGATGGTGTACAGTGACACCACCTGACCCAAACCCTGCTGATGGTGTACAGTGACACCAACAGGCCCAACCCCTGCTGATGGTGTACAGTGACACCACCTGACCCAAACCCTGCTGATGGTGTACAGTGACACCAACAGGCCCAACCCCTGCTGATGGCATGCAGTGACACCAACAGGCCCAACCCCTGCTGATGGCATACAGTGACACCAACAGGCCCAAACCCTGCTGATGGCATGCAGTGACACCAACAGGCCCAACCCCTGCTGATGGCATACAGTGACACCAACAGGCCCAACCCCTGCTGATGGCATACAGTGACACCAACAGGCCCAACCCCTGCTGATGGCATACAGTGACACCAACAGGCCCAACCCCTGCTGATGGTGTACAGTGACACCAACAGACCCAACCCCTGCTGATGGTGTACGAGTGACACCAGTGACCCAAACCCTGCTGATGGTGTACAGTGACACCAACAGGCCCCCTGCTGATGGCATACAGTGACACCAACAGGCCCAACCCTGCTGATGGCATACAGTGACACCAACAGGCCCAACCCCTGCATGGTATACGAGTGACACCAACAGGGCCCAACCCCTGCTGATGGCATACAGTGACACCAACAGGCCCAACCCCTGCTGATGGTGTACAGTGACACCAACAGGCCCAACCCCTGCTGATGGCATACAGTGACACCAACAGGCCCAACCCTGCTGATGGCATACAGTGACACCAACAGGCCCAACCCCTGCTGATGGCATACAGTGACACCAACAGGCCCAACCCCTGCTGATGGCATACAGTGACACCAACAGGCCCAACCCCTGCTGATGGCATACAGTGACACCAACAGGCCCAACCCTGCTGATGGCATACAGTGACACCAACAGACCCAACCCTGCTGATGGCATACAGTGACACCAACAGGCCCAACCCCTGCTGATGGTGTACAGTGACACCAACAGGCCCAACCCCTGCTGATGGCATACAGTGACACCAACAGGCCCAACCCCTGCTGATGGTGTACAGTGACACCACCTGACCCAACCCTGCTGATGGTGTACAGTGACACCAACAGACCCAACCCCTGCTGATGGTGTACAGTGACACCAACAGACCCAACCCCTGCTGATGGTGTACAGTGACACCAACAGGCCCAACCCTGCTGATGGCATACAGTGACACCAACAGGCCCAACCCCTGCTGATGGCATACAGTGACACCAACAGACCCAACCCCTGCTGATGGTGTACAGTGACACCAACAGGCCCAACCCTGCTGATGGCATGCAGTGACACCAATGGCCCACCCTGCTGATGGTGTGACACCAACAGACCCAACCCCTGCTGATGGTGTACAGTGACACCAACAGGCCCAACCCCTGCTGAGTGCTGATGGCATACAGTGACACCAACAGACCCAACCCTGCTGATGGCATACAGTGACACCAACAGGCCCAACGAGTGACACCCCTGCTGATGGCATACAGTGACACCAACAGACCCAACCCCTGCTGATGGCATACAGTGACACCAACAGACCCAACCCCTGCTGATGGTGTACAGTGACACCAACAGGCCCAACCCCTGCTGATGGCATACAGTGACACCAACAACCCAACCCTGCTGATGGCATACAGTGACACCAACAGACCCAACCCCTGCTGACACCAACAGACCCAACAGACCCCCTGCTGCTGATGGTGTAGAGTGACACCAACAGGCCCAACCCTGCTGATGGCTTACAGTGACACCAACAGGCCCAACCCTGCTGATGGCATACAGTGACACCAACAGGCCCAACCCCTGCTGATGGCGTACAGTGACACCAACAGGCCCAACCCCTGCTGATGGCATACAGTGACACCAACAGACCCACCCCTGCTGATGGCCTACAGTGACACCAACAGACCCAACCCCTGCAGCTGATGGTGTAGAGTGACACCAACAGGCCCAATCCCTGCTGGTGGCATACAGTGACACCAACAGACCCAACCCCTGCTGATGGCATACAGTGACACAAACAGACCCAACCCCTGCTCATTTTTCAGGTTCTTTTCTTGAGTTGAAAAGTTGTTATCTGGCAACAGCATCAGCTCAAAGCAGTAAGTGAAGACTTTGGAAGTTCATTTGCAGAATTCAGTTTATTTTCAGTTTCCCAGAAAGTGTTTCAAAATAATTTGCAGCTTGATATTTTTTTCTGAACACCAGCTGGAACTGTTACTTGTGCTACTTTAATGCCTTACTAAGTATCTCAAACTGTCATGATAACGACAGTCACCCGCCGTGATATTGCTGGACTATTGTTAAAAAGCGGCATAAAACTAAACTCACCTACCCATGATAACGACAACAAGGCATGGCCCCAACGGGCTTCCGTAAAATACAGTGTCGCATTATTTCTGACACAAACACCTGTTAGGAGCTAAGCCTTACATTGTCTTTATAATGCTTCAAACACAACTCTGCACATCGTCTTGGAAAATCGAGCGAGTCCTTGGGACCAAAGTCGTACTTGAGAACTTCTTGTGGCGACCCATAGTGAAAAACCATGTACTCATTCAACAGTTTCCGCGATTCATAAACATTGTCTGTGCTCTTGCCCCTCCGCTCCGCATACAGTCGGTACGTGCTGTAGGCGGCCACGCCCACTGACAACGCTACCGTGGACATGGCAAGAGTCTTATGGTCTATTCCAAACACAGTCGCCATTTCTAACCCTTGATGCGTGATCCAAAAATGCTGAAACTTCCAAACAGAAAATCGGCACGTTCTACAATCAGCTGTACACGCCGATCAACACGCTGCAGAGAGGAAGTCGTAAAGGTGACAATACGCATGCGCGGCTGTCGATAGCCGTCTGTTCCGAAGTGTTCGCTATCTATTTAATCAGTAGAAATATAGATAACGGATACATTATGATTAGACGAACCATATCATATACAATATATCATGTGATCTTTTCAGGGGGTCGGTCCAATGCATATAATGTATCCCAATGGTCTTTAACAAATTCGAGATAGAAAAGTACATGTTGTCATGTCAAAAAGTGACCTGTTGTGGGGCGTGGAAGTTATGCCTTATTTCGCTAGTTGCCGGGCTACTTGTAATAAGCCTCTTTAGATAACAAGCAGTAAAGAAGTTATTGTGTATAGGAAGAAAGTTTCAGATCTCCCTGTTCAACAAATTCTACAACAATGTGAAGAAGGAAATATGCAGTTTGACTTGTATGTATTGCAAGAGATCAGTCTTGCAAGTATTCCCTCGTGTGAAACTGCATGTGGTTACCATGGTAGACTGACAGACAAAATTACAACCTCAATCAGCAGAAAATAAAGTGGCGCTTCACAGGCTGTCAGTCTACCATGGTAACCACATGTTTTGTGCTGAAAGTTTGTTAAATGACCATTGAAACTCGGGTGAAAATGAAGTGTGCACCCCTCCTTTTCTCAATAGTGTGCACCCCACCACCCCCCTTTCTCAAAAGCTGTATCCACCCCTGTGCTTAAAAGAAGGGCTCATTTTTACTAGGCCTGCCAATTTGAACGAGACAAGTCCCCTTTAAGAAATATGAATTACATCTATTTGATACTTTCAGTTTCACATACCTGATAAATCTATAAGATCCAGGGAGTGGGTATGGTTTTATGCCGCCTTTAGCAATATTCAAGCAATATCGCGATGGAGGGCAGCAGAAATGGGCTTCACACATTGTACTCAACCAAGATATCCAGACAACAGTTATATACTACAACATTCTAAATAATCCCGTATCAGCTACGGATAATCATGACATCAAGGAATTATCTGGACACTTATCTGGACAAGCACAAGGCCTCAGTGTAACGCTGTATTGGAATTTAAACATGTTTTCTGATAAATGCGGGGATTGAATTTTGCGTTTAAAAACTGGAAAAAGAACCACCCTTATTTTCGGAATTTATAAGAGTTAGTGAGTATGATTTAATGACGCTTTTAACAATATCACATGGGTGGGCACCAGTAATGAGCTTCACGCATTGCATCCTGTGTGGAATCAACCCGGGTTTTTGGCGTGACGAGCGAACGCATTAACCACTAAGCTACCTAAACGCCCCTAATGAAACGTGAAGTATGGCAGTTTGTTTGCCATCTGATATAATGCGTGAGTCTGGTTTTACGCCGCTTTTAGCAATATTCCAGCAACATCAGCGGGGGACACCAAATACCAAACAACTGTTCCATAAGATACCAAGACAAGGGTATATTTCACACCCCTTTTGCAAATATCCTATAACTCCAAAAAGAAGTACCCAAATACATCTTCCTATTAATTTGGCGCTCAACTTGGACAGTGTTTGTCTTAAGGATGCAAATAATGGGGGGGGGTATGTGGTTGTTGTTTTTTTGTCTCCTGGCGTGTTGTCAGGTAAAAGTAACTGTGGCATCAAACGTGTGTGTATGTGCATAATGGAACATGAAGAAGGGGGATGCTGGATGTTAATCATGTTAATTATGTTGTTTTCTTTGTTACATTGTTACATCCAGCATATATATACTTCCCCCTTCTTCATGTTCCATTATGCTTGACAACGGTACAAGAATCTGTATCGAAACGTCGCACTCACGAATAAAAAGAAGTTGTTATCCATAAAGTGTGTTCTATATAACAGTAGTAAGTCTATAAGGAAATCCATGAAATATTATTCCACAATACGAATTTCCCTCCATCGTGTTTCAACAGCTAAAGTATAAACATGCAGGAGGGAACTTCGTGTTGTGTCATATCATATCTTGTGGAGTTAACATCTGTGTAGAGCTGTTAGTCATCATTATGCAGGATATATATATTTTAGAAGCATACAGATGTATACACGCGCTGTCTACCAGCACGAAATAACCACTTTCTCAAATTATCCGCTAAACGGCAACTGTTAGCATTAACACATCCCATTTATTGAAGTAATGCAGGCGAGTTGAACTGTTGAAGAAATGGTTCCGTTATAAACACTGACGGAGAGGTCACGTGACTTTAACTGCGAATGGTTTGACAGCTGGTGAAATACGATATCATTCCACGACAACACCGAACCGAAGTTGGAAGAAAAGTTTCAGTGGCGATGTCGGAGTGAGAAGTGAGTGGTCTCAGACGATGACGACGGCGACATTTGGGATTCCTTCGTGATGAGACGCAAGAACCGTCTGCTGGGCGTGGTTCTGTGGCTTTGCGCCACGGTGGGGGTGATGTACATCTACAGAGGAGTGATCATCCGCTGGCTCAATGGGTCCAACGTGAGTGAGGCTTTCTGGGTTGCTGAGACTTACTGGGGCGGGGGAGGGGCTAGTCGGATGCTGTACAAGCCTTTGTTATTTCAGTGTACATACAGAATTCCGTGATAAGGGACACCATCCACGTGTACAGGATACGACAACCTCATTACTCACACTGTATAACGCCAGGCCATGGTATTGATGTATAACACGTGGGTTTGTATACAATACATATTGGAATGATCAATGTTGCGACTGAGGCTTTTCTAGTCAGCCTACATGGATAGGCTGTTAATGTTCTATTTATATTAATGTCAATGTTCAACAAAGTGCATCTTGTAAAGAAAAAAAATCTTTAAGTTAAAATTATTTACTTTTAATCTTTTAGAAAATGCTTATGTTTTGGTACCTCTGGTAAAGAAGTTAGTTCAACATGAAGGAATTTGACAACTGTAAACATTACTGTTATAGGTTGTATAAAACTGTTAGACATTGACATGTCACATAGACTTATACTGTTATACAGGTACATCATTATTGCACAAGGTATAACATGTCAGACTTTATCACACATGATACAGAATTGTTATACAATGTACATTATTATAACACATGGTACAGAAGTGTTTACATTATTGGAACACATGGTACAGAAGTGTTATATATTATTATAACACATGGTACAGAATTGTTATACATTATTATAACACATGGTACAGAATTGTTATACATCATTATAACACATACAGAATTGTACATTTTCAAAGCACAGAATTAACAGTTATACACCATTATAGCACAAGGGATAACATGTTAGGCATTTTTATAACATACGATACAGAATTGTTATATAATTAAAGCACAACATATAAACCTGTTGCTTATATGATATGAAAGTATAATGGCCCATGGTATATACATTATGTAAACCTTTGTGAAGTGTAAGGCTTGAGTTTTGTCTTGACACATAAGTAGCAGAGGGCTCAATGCTCCTTCCAAGCATGATTAATGTAGCATTAACTGTCAGCTTTCAAATTAAAAAGAAACACATTATATATAGCTAAATGAGTTTATGTTACACTCGACCCAGTCCAACTAGCAATCCGTCATCTTCTGAGAAATGTTGTTTGTTTAGTTTAACACAGTCTCTTTCTGGCAGTAGATAAAGATATTAACCCTGTCGATATACTCAACAGATAATAGTGTATCATTTACACATAACAGTCCAAATATGTGTACAGTACAACCAGAAAGTATTGAGAATTTAAGATTGTAATTTTTTAATTTTTTTCACTCATAACTCACGTGTTAAATGTGAATATTAGCAGAACATAACTCCAGATTCAAAGACAGGTGAACAGTTAGTTTTTTTGTCAAGTCACCATGGGCAGCAATGCAGGCTTCAATGCGGCGGGGCATACTACTGATCAAAGAAGTTAGAAAGTCGTGGTCCATGCTGTCCCAATATCGGACCCCCTCTTCTTTCATTTCAGCAATATTTGTCAGATTTTTCTTATTGACACTCTCCTTCATATTTCCCCAAACATTTTCTATTGGATTTAGGTCAGGGCTATAGCTTGGCCAATCTAATAATGTCATATTTTGGGTCCGAAACCAGGCCCGTGAATGCTTTGAACGATGTTTTGGGTCGTTGTCCTGCTGGAAAATCAATAAATTTCCATAGAACATGTGCCCGGATGGAAGTAGATGTCCCTCGAAAATATCTGTGTACCGCTCACTGTTCATATTCCCTTCAAATACACAGAGGGGCGTTGCCCCTAACACAGATATGCCACCCCACACGTCAAATTTCGGACTGTACTTTGGGCGCTGATACAAAGGTTTTTCAATTTGTTTGATCCAGAATTTCAGTGTATTAGGAAACAGCCACACAGAACTTTCATCTGAGAAAATCACATTGTCCCAGTTAAAATTTCTATGCTGTAAGCACCAGTTCAACCTTCGCTCCTTTTGTTCAGGTTTCATGATCGGTGATATAATTCGTCGACTTTTCTGCCAACCCATTGCATGCAGCTCAGTTCTAATTGTCTCCTTACAGACAGCCACAGTTCCTCTATCAATCATATCCAGCCGTAAGTTTTCTAAACTCCTTCGTTTGTTTTTAGAAACAAGAATACCAAGCCGCCTCCTGTCACCGACAGTCAATTTTCTGGGCCTACCTGCGCCTCCCTGATGCTCAATGCCATATCCATTTGCAATATTTTTCAAAACACGATAAACAGTGGACAAAGGGATGCCTGTTCCACTTGAAATCACTTTAGCTGATCTGATGTCCTTGTTAATATACTCTAAAATCAACTTCCTCTTCTCTAAATCATCCATACTGAGGATCACTGAAAATGTCGTCTGCTAGCATGTAAACAAAGGGGGATAACTCTTCACAAACTAATGAAAAAGATTAACAGAGTTGTCTCTCTTGAATGAAACCAAGCACTTGATAGCTGGTCAAGGTTGTTTATACTAGAAATCCAATTAAACATATTCCTAAAATTCTCAATAATTTCTGGTCATACTATATATCATTGAGACATGACTCGGGACGGTGGGATAGCCTAGTGGTTAAAGGGCTGGGTCGTCAGGCCAAGGATCTGGGTTCATGGGTACAATGTGATGCCCATTTCATGTGTCCCCCTCAGTGATATTGCTGGAATATTGCTAAAAGCGGCATAAAACCATACTCACTCAATTAGACATGACTCTCTGCTGATATATGTGTATCATTCACACATGACAGTCTGCAGATATAGCTATATCATTGACACATGATATTCTGCAGATATACATATATCATTCACACATGATGCTCTGCTGATATACGTATATCATTCACACATGACACTGCAGCTGCATGTGTATCATTTTCCCATATGACTCTCTGGATATATATGTACATCTATATCATCTACCAATGACTCTCTGGAGATATATGTACATCTATCTCATTTACCAATGACTCTCTGCAGATATATGTACATCTATATCATGTACCAATGACTCTCTGGAGATATATGTACATCTATATCATCTACCAATGACTCTCTGCAGATATATGTACATCTATATCATCTACCAATGACTCTCTGCAGATATATGTACATCTATGTCATCTACCAATGACTCTCTGCAGATATATGTACATCTATATCATCTACCAATGACTCTGCAGATATATGTACATCTATATCATCTACCAATGACTCTCTGGAGATATATGTACATCTATATCATCTACCAATGACTCTCTGCAGATATATGTACATCTATGTCATCTACCAATGACTCTCTGCAGATATATGTACATCTATATCATTACCAATGACTCTCTGGAGATATATGTACATCTATATCATCTACCAATGACTCTCTGCAGATATATGTACATCTATATCATCTACCAATGACTCTCTGGAGATATATGTGACTCTCATCTATATCATCATCTACCAATGACTCTCTGCAGATATATGTACATCTATATCATCTACCAATGACTCTCTGCAGATATATGTACATCTATATCATCTACCAATGACTCTCAGATATATGTACATCTATATCATCTACCAATGACTCCTCTGGAGATATATGTACATCTATATCATCTACCAATGACTCTCTGCAGATATATGTACATCTATATCATCTACCAATGACTCTCTGCAGATATATGTACATCTATATCATCTACCAATGACTCTCTGCAGATATATGTACATCTATATCATCTACAATGACTCTCTGGAGATATATGTACATCTATATCATCTACCAATGACTCTCTGCAGATATATGTACATCTATATCAAATATCTACCATTTTTCTTTATGACAGAAGTTTTCTGAAAGGAAAAACTTCTATTATCATCAAAATCACTCTGCAGATATATGTACATCTATGTCATCTACCAATGACATACTAAGCGATCTCCTGTGGAACACTGTACATCTATATCATCTACCAGATATATGTACATCTATATCATCTACCAATGACTCTCTGCAGATATATGTACATCTATATCATCTACCAATGACTCTCTGCAGATATATGTACATCTATATCATCTACCAATGACTCTCTGCAGAGATATATGTACATCTATATCATCTACCAATGACTCTCTGGAGATATATGTACATCTATATCATCTACCAATGACTCTCTGGAGATATATGTACATCTATATCATCTACCAATGACTCTCTGGAGATATATGTACATCTATATCATCTACCAATGACTCTCTGCAGATATATGTACATCTATATCATCTACCAATGACTCTCTGGAGATATATGTACATCTATATCATCTACCAATGACTCTCTGGAGATATATGTACATCTATATCATCTACCAATGACTCTCTGCAGATATATGTACATCTATATCATCTACCAATGACTCTCTGCAGATATATGTACATCTATATCATCTACCAATGATTCTCTGCAGATATATGTACATCTATATCATCTACCAATGACTCTCTGCAGATATATGTACATCTATATCATCTACCAATGACTCTCTGCAGATATATGTACATCTATATCATCTACCAATGACTCTCTGGAGATATATGTACATCTATATCATCTACCAATAACTCTCTGCAGATATATGTACATCTATATCATCTACCAATGACTCTCTGCAGATATATGTACATCTATATCATCTACCAATGACTCTCTGGAGATATATCTATGTACATGGAGACATATATCATCTACCAATGACTCTCTGGAGATATATGTACATCTATATCATCTACCAATGACTCTCTGGAGATATATGTACATCTATATCATCTACCAATGACTCTCTGCAGATATATGTACATCTATATCATCTACCAATGACTCTCTGGAGATATATGTACATCTATATCATCTACCAATGACTCTCTGGAGATATATGTACATCTATGTCATCTACCTATGATTCTCTGCAGAGACTTGCTTTCACTCTTTAGTGTTACACTATGAAACACAAACCATGCACAAACCATCAAATACTTCTTTGAGAAATGGGTTCTCACCATGACTTGTCTGAATCATGTTTTATGGTGTTTTTACAACTCTGTGACCTTTTAACACCCTACAGACAGATTGATCGTGTGATCAGACAATCGTGAACTGTGTTATCTTTGATGCAACAGCTGTGAGGACCAGCTGTTTGACACCACAGTCCATATGATCATCAAAGATGAGCAATGAAAGTGTCAGATCAATCATCGTTGACGTAGATCCCCAACAGCCGCAGTCAGGGCTCTCTGGTGACAGGTGCATCATACAGGCTGATGTATTATAATCTATATTTATATACACACAATGCCTCCTTGGTATTGCCATATATTTTTTTTGTGAGCTTTGATGGGTGTTTGAAGCTGTTGTAGTGTAGGTACGCTCATACTACAGAAACACTTCATACGCACGGGAAGTAGGAAAATAAAGGCTTGTTGTAGAAGAGTTTTGTTATAGAACAGGTTTGTCACGGGAGAGACTTGTCATATGAAGGTCTTGATACTAGAAGGGCTTGTTATATGAGAGTCTTGTAATAAGAAGGTCATGTAAGTTTGTTATAGAAGGGGTTTGTCAGAGGAGAGACTTGTCATATGAAGGTCTGGATACTGGAAAGGCTGGTTTTATGAGAGTCTTGTAATGGTAGGGTCATGTAATATAAGGGTTTTGTTATAGAAGGGGTTTGTCATGGGAGAGACTTGTCATATGAAGGTCTTGATACTAGAAGGGCTTGTTATATGAGAGTCTTGTAATAAGAAGGTCATGTAAGTTTGTTATAGAAGGGGTTTGTCAGAGGAGAGACTTGTCATATGAAGGTCTTGATACTAGAAGGGCTTGTTATATGAGAGTCTTGTAATAGGAGGTCATTTAAGTTTGTAGGGTCATGTAATTTAAGGGTTTTGTTATAGAAGGGGTTTGTCACGGGAGAGACTTGTCATGTGAAGGTCTTGATACTGGAAGGGCTTGTTATATGAGAGTCTTGTAATGGTAGGGTCATGTAATATAAGGGTTTTGTTATAGAAGGGGTTTGTCACGGGAGAGACTTGTCATGTGAAGGTCTTGATACTAGAAGGGCTTGTTATATGAGGGGTTTGTCAAGGAGAGTCTTGTAATGGTCAGGGTCATGTAATATAAGGGTCATAGAACGGGTTTGTAAGACTTGTTTGTTATAGTTATATGAGAGTCTTGTAATACAAGGGTCATGTAATGTCATGTAATAGGAGAGATTTGTCAGGGTTTGTTATAGGTGAAGGTTCATGATGGGAGGATGGGCTTATTATATGAAGTTATTATTGAAGTGATTTGTTTTGGTAGGACTGCATAAAAGAGGGATTTGTTTTATATAGATCTTGTCACAGGTGGGACTTGTTATAAGAATGACTTGATATAAGAGGGATTATTATAGGGGATAAAAGACTTGGAACAACTTTAGGGTTGCTCGTCAATGTAAAAAAAGTATCAGAAGAGAGACTTTGTTTTAGATTGTGCAAACAAATTTGTCATGTAAATGTCAGATCAGGAATGAAGCATCCATGTCCTTATCACAAGAAATAAGTAATATACACACTGATGTGTACCTCAATATGTAATCACTGGAACTTTGTAAGACAAAGGGACATAACTCCAGGTGCAATTTGGAACAGATTACATCACAGCAAAAGCAACCCTCTGCATTATTGTGGTTTGAGGTCAAAATGGTTTCTCTTTTATGATTTTTTGTCGGATTTGCTCAGGTGAGACATTGTCTGCACCGTATGATGACAGACAAGGACAACTTCAACCCAAGTAACATTCAGAGGTGTGACCTGTATGTGTTTACCGTGTGTTCTGTTAGCAATGTAACTGTCACATGTGTGTACTACGTGTGTAAATAGTTAAGAAAGATTCAGAACTAGGACATCTGTATCTGTGTGCATTATTTCCACAGACATACTTCGACCCAAAGTCACTCAGCTACAAAAACTACATTGGCACCATCGATGTAGAAGACCTCAAGATGCCACTGCAGAAACACGCCTTTAACATCGTAACGAGTAACAGCATCCCCCCCGACCGGGACATCCCAGACGTGAGATACAGTCAGTAAGTAGCAGACGCAGACAGGTCACAGATTGTACAGATATGTCTGACTCATACAGGACTCTAGTCGAGCTGAAAGTGTTGCCCTCTCACAGTTTATATTTTTTTCAGATGTAGAAAGGTTGACTACTCCTTCAAAAAGTTACCAAAGACTAGTATCATCATCACCTTCCATAACGAGGCACGGTCAACTTTGCTAAGAACAGTCATCAGGTATGTAGTCTCAACGATATGTCAGTTTAGTTTAGTTTATGTCTGGGAGAACACATGTTTGCATTTTACCACTGAGTATTTCTTTGTTACACGCAGTGTTTGCAATGCTTTAATTTGCAAGTTGGCCATCAGGGCCTGCTGCTGCCTGCAGGCTTTAAAATATACACTGTCCACAATTTCACACTGTTTCTACAAAGTCTGTTAGCAAAGCCTATGGCACAGAGAGAAGTTTATATTTGTTAAAGACTGGTGTTGACATTCAAATGCGCAAAGCAGAAGTGAAACTGTAAGTTTTTGTAACATGATGGATCATGGATGATTCCCAAACTTTATCAAGATAAAAATTATTGGAAAGATTCCAGTTGAAAAAGAAATTGACAGATAATTTACTTATTTATAAGGGCCTGCAAATATTTGAAACTGCCGGCCCAATACAATAACAACCGGCGCTGGGCCTCTGGGGCAGCAATTATTTTGAATGCTGGTTGCGTGATGTCATACAGGTTTATCCACAAAATCTATAACATAACCATTGTAATGATATGAGTACTGCACTTAGGAAGATTGATCTATATTTGATGTCATGATGAGGTGGGCAGCAAAGTTTCAGCATACGAGGGATAACCTTGAAGACGACCTCATCGTGAAAGCAACACTAGAAATGTTCCATAGACAACTGCATACCTGTCAACTCTCACGCATTTGGCGTGAGTCTCACGCTTTATTGACAAATGTCACGCTCTCACGCCTCCAAATAATAATCTCACGCATATCTGGTAGCCAAAACTAATTTCAAAATAAATACGCATTTTCCGTTCGTTTTTGCGTAAAGTTGAACATTGAAAGAACGCCTGAATGAACGAAGTACCAAAACGATGTTTATGCGAATGATTCGGCTTATTATTTATTATCATGCATCTTTTAGTGTCAAAATAATGCAACCAGAAGGCTCCAAATGCTCCTGAAAATCACTAAACTTCATTTTCGGGGGCGGGGGGCTTCGCCCCCTAGAGACCCCCCACCAAGGCTTCGCCCTCGACATGACCCCGGCTTATTTTTTTCAGTCTCACTCCAAACCATCTTTAGGGGTTGACAGCTCTGCAACTGATCATCTTTTTGCTATTTCAGTAATCATTTCACAAGACAGAGTGATTTCCATTATCACACAAACGTTAGCTGTATGTGTTCAGCATCTTCTGGCATCTGATCCAAATCTTAGGTACAACATGTCTCATGAGGATTTAACTCTGTTGGAAGCTGATCCTGAAAGATTCTTGCAATAGCTTGTAACTATGGATGAAACTCAGGTCCAATATGTCCTCCTTGAATACAAACAACAATAAAGTAGTGGAGGCATTTGACTTCAGCGCCACCAATTAACTCATGCCCTGTCCTATCAACTGTAAGTGTTATGGCCAATGTGTTCTGAGATGCCAAACATATACAATCAATGATGTCATGATATCATGGCATCTGTGAAGAACATTTTAGAGGGACAAGACCAGAACTTATATTAAAACCCCGCCAGCATCATTGAAAAAACTCGTTTGGGTGTCATTTGGTCAAGAATTTCTAAGTGAAGTGTAGAAAATATTAATCCACCCTTTTTCCCATGATAATGACTGATTATTATAACCAAAAAAATGAATGAAATGTTGATTCCGAGCTTGACTGTTGCAGTGTGTTGACGCGAACACCGCTGTACCTAGTGGAAGACATTGTACTCGTGGATGACTTTAGCGACGATCGTAAGTAAACTAGACCCATCTCTCATCGTAATGAGGTATTGAGATTTCATGACTCATTTAGGCAGGGAACAGTATAAAACTACATCATATCCTTGTCAGTGAATTCAGGTTAAAGAACAGCTGATAACAAACTTGGTCAATACAAATTTGAGATGAAACATCACATTTACACAATAATGTACCTTTGAAATGGTATCACCTGTTTTTAAGGCATTGTTTTATATGCATAGACTAAAATTACTCTGTGTGTTTTGTCGTAACAAAGACAAAACGATCAATCAGCCTTCATGTTTTCTCTCAGTTTACTGGTGATTGGGTTACTCAGTAATACAACTTCAAAGAATTTTTATAGTGATTGGAAGAATTGTATCTGAAAGTTGTATTTTATCAGGGATAATATATCATGTTACTTTAGTATGTACTTGTAACAGTAAAAAACAATCATACATATATATACATAGATATAATTATTATACTTAATTAAAATATTATGGAAAACACAGCCAGTTCACATCAGACAGATTTGTTCATACAAGCAGACTTCCTTGAAAAACAATACTCCCTACCAGTGATTCATTAGAAGAATTGTGGTCAGATGATATGGTTATTACTGTTATTACTAAGTAATGTAGATGTATAACATTCCAAGTAGGGAGTGATTATTATGATTATTATTGTAAGCAAATCCTTAGCTCATTACTTTTTGCATTGAATTAAAAGAGGAGGCTAGTTAATTTGTGTGTTTTTCCATCAGAACATTTTGCTTTCAGCTGATGATGGTCAGCTCCTCGCTGTGATTCCAAAAGTCAAACTGATCCGTAACGTCCAGCGAGAAGGTGAGATACACAGGTGTAATGGTTGATGGGGAAATATCAGGTGTTATATCACACTTTCAGCAGATGTTGTCGGAAACGAAGTTTATTGATGGACCATATTTCCTTTATTTATCACATCCACTCTTTATCCCCAGCATTGAGTTGCAAGGATAATAATGGTGGGAATTCCGACCATAAAACCTACCAGGCATTTGATCAGGTTCCTCTGATTATATGGGTCTCAGTGTTTAATCATGGGAGTATGATAGCTGAGATTGTCCTTTTGTTAAAGGTTTGGTCTGATTGTTGACAGGAGAGTTTAGTTAATGTCATGGAGAGTGAATTCAGCTTGACAAAAACTCTGAAGATGTATGATATGTGTGACAGACATACACAATATTTACAATATGCTAACTATATGCTGGGTGTGCAACAGCTGATTAGGTTTTGTGTGAACATTGCCTCAACAGTGTTGCCTGATCCACGGCCATTATAGTCCATTCATGGGTGAAAAGTAAAAGTATGTGTCAGTTGAAAGAACAGCAGCCTTATAAATGTTACATATTTGTCTCTGGATGAATTTTTAACCTTTGAACACCCTGTAGAATTTGTACTAGAAATGACACTGATCTCAATCATGAGTTATGGGTGCCGGTAATTTGATTTGGATTTTGAGTTTGCAACAAGTCTAGGATTCTAAAAATTGAAATCACATGGAAAGATCTGAGTGTTTGGAATGAAGTTTGCACATGATTTGAATTAAAACAATTGCCCTGTGTCAGGTTTGATCCGGTCTCGTGTCATCGGTGCTGACACGGCAAGTGGTCCGATCCTGACGTTCCTGGATTCTCACTGTGAGGTTAACAAGGAATGGCTGCAGCCCCTGCTACAGAGATTGGTGGATGTAAGTCAGACCGGTGTTGGGGGGAGAAGGTCCCCTGTAGTCATACGCAACACCACTGATCAAACTGTGACATGACAGAGCTGTGTGGCATCCAGTTTCTCTGGGCATATGTATCTTGGACATTTAGAATGTAGCCCCATTTGTGTTTCTGTGTGTAGTCAACTGCCTGTTGTCTTACACATTCAACAATAAATACTTAATCCTTATTGGTCAGTAAGAAGTTTCAACTGAAAATAACAATCACTGACAGTATGACCAGGGAAGATGCTATTTATAGAAAGTCCTCTGTCATCATCAGGGGGAGAAATGATAAATGTTTCATACACCAATATCCTGTTAAGTTACCCAAATTTAAATGATAACACAACAAAGCGATCCACGCTTGCACTTTAGTCAGCCATGATGGTACAACTACCCAGATGCGGGGAGCAGTCCTTGCATTCACAAAATACTCATAAGGGAGTAATCATTATATTGCAACAATAAACACAACTATAGGTTGCACACTACAGTGTTGCGGCTCCTGCAATATTCACAGTTGTAATACATTGTGGGGAGATGACATGATAAGATCAACAAGGACAGTGAGAACAAAACCTGTGATGTGGATATGGTAGTGGGTGGTAGAGAACCTACCACAAATGTGGATGCCCTCTCTTTGCCCAAGTGTGTAAAGTATATTGATGTACAACATGTAAGGGTACCTACAGCAAGATTATTTGTTTTTAGGCAATGACACACTAAAGATGTGTTCTTTTGTTTTGTCTGTACAATTCCAAATTCAATCTGGCGCCATCTGATCCACAGCTTCTATGACTCTGAATGGCCAATACACTGGATGTCCTTCTCCTCAGTGTCTTGTGTGTGGATGTTTCAGGCCCCCTACAGTGTAGTGAGTCCCGTGATAGACGTGATCGACACAGAGAGCTTCCAGTACAATGCTGTACCTGACATCCTCAGGGGAGGTAGGTAGAAATGTCAGTAGGGACTAAAAGGACCCATGAAGGTCCGGGTTAGAATTGGTCTTCAGTAACCCATGCTTGTCGTAAGAGGCGACTAACGGGATCGGGTGGTCAGAATTGCTGACTTTGTTGAAACGTCATCGTATCCCAGTTGCATAGAAGGAAGCTCATGATGTTGATCACTGGATTGTCTGGTCCAGACTCGATTATTTACAGACCGCTGCCATATAGCTGGAATATTGCTGAGTGCTAGAAGATACAGTCTTTGTTTATAAGAGTGTTGTACTGTCAAATATAGGGTCAAATGTTGTGTCGAAAGTTTTATTGTTTCATTGCGCATCTTCAGGCTTTGACTGGAGCATGCACTTTAAGTGGGAGGACCAGCCTTTGTCCACGGTGGGGAAGAGAAAGACGGACCCAGTCAAGTAAGTTACCATGGTTACTGTGTGCTACTTTAATGATACTGCCATTGAGGTGACGTGGAGATAAGCGATGTGTAAGTAGAGTTTGATCATGATGTGAAGTATCTCAAGGGTGTAATTGTACTTCATGAGTAGTGTTTGCTTGTAATTATGTGATTATTTGACAAGGTTATCAAGAACAAAGATGACGTCCTACAAGGTTGCGACTGTCACAGTACAACAGGCACATCAATTTTGAATGAAATTGTGGCAATGACCTGCTTCAAGATTGAAATGACATAAATGTTGATTGGATTTTAAGGTTGAAACAATGTTGAAATGTTTATGTTGGAAACATTGTTGAAACAATATTGAAAGAACTGTCTTTGTTGGGTATTGGTTGAATATTGGTTTCATAGATACATAGCTTCATACAGATACAATCCAGTGCAATTAAAGGCACATTCATACCGAGAAAAAATCTGTGGGCACAATCCTAAATGTGTCTAATGTCTTTCAGAAATCCATCATTTGGCACTGTCTAGTCATTTAGCACATCCCACAAAGTTTCCTCTGATGTGGAGTAGCTGACATCCAATCTGATCACACCCAATGCAGAATCTGTATCTTAACACACCATGTTGTTTACTGGACAGAGGCTACATTATCTCCCCTGGTCCATGACAGATGTCTGTTTCCTCATCCTGTCAATGAGAAAGAAAGAGAGAGAAAATATCTTGTTAATGCCTAAATGGTTTCTATGATGATGAATTGGCCAGGGTTAAAGAATAAAATAAATATCCACCTCACGCTGGTGGAGGCACCTGAGTTCAGGTCCCGAGGTGGGCACATTTGTCTAGTATCCTTGGACAAGATACTTAGATCTAGATTGTCTCGGTTCACCCAGCTGTAAAATGGGTACCCGTGAGGATGTGCTGGCAATGTGAGTGTTTAGTTCATTGCGTCTAACAGGCAGCATGGCTGTATGATCCCCAGGGAGTTGAAAAAGTATTGGAAAGTACGATAGTGTCCTATGACCGGGGATATTAATGTATGTAGCGAAGCGCCGTGAGCAGGCAATGGGCCTGGATATGAGCACCATATAAGCGGACTATTACTATTATTACTGTTAAATAAGGATACAGGATCAGGCATCCCACAAGAGAACATATTTACTAGATCTAATTCTCATTTTCCTCATGCCTGTTGCACAGAATGTCTGTTTTAATTAGGATTGTTTAATCAAATTTTGTAAGTCTTTCAATCATTATGGTTTGATAAACATATCCATTCCAGTGTCAAATATATGTATTTCATAAAATAAATTGCTCAATTTGTCTTTTTTATTTTAGTTTTATAATTGACGGAGTTGTGTTGATGCATGTATTGTAGGACTCCCATCATTGCTGGCGGTATCTTCAGTGTCAGGAAGCAGTGGTTCAATAACCTCGGCAAGTACGACACCAAGATGGACATCTGGGGAGGAGAGAACTTTGGTGAGTTGTCCGTTAAAAGAGACTCCAGATTTTGTGTCTATGAATTTGAAACAATGCCTCTTGTTTGTCTCTAGTCAAAACACCAAATATTACCTGCACTTCCTTGAACACTTTGATCAGGACATGGGGTTTACAGCCAGGGAGTCTCTGGCAGCAATGTGTGATTTTATTCTGTACAACAGAAGAGATCATAGACTAGAGTCTGTCTTTCAATTTGCTGATGAAGTAAATTAGATCAACACACAAGTGTGAAAACAACAAAAATGCCACGTTGTGGAACTTTCTGAGCTGACTTTTGTTCTCACTGTTTTTCAGAGTTGTCATTCCGTGTGTGGATGTGTGGCGGACAGCTAGAGATCATCCCCTGCAGTCGAGTCGGACATGTGTTCCGCAAGCGTCACCCCTACTCCTTCCCTGAGGGAAACTCGAACACATACATGAAGTAAGGCTCTAACACATACATGAAGTAAGGCTCTAACACATACATACATGAACATGAAGTAAGGCTCTAACACATTCATGAAGTAAGGCTCTAACACATACATGAAGTAAGGCTCTAACACATACATGAAGTAAGGCTCTAACACATACATGAAGTAAGGCTCTAACACATACATGAAGTAAGGCTCTAACACATACATGAAGTAAGGCTCTAACACATGAAGTAAGGCTCTAACACATACATGAAGTAAGGCTCTAACACATACATGAAGTAAGGCTCTAACACATGCATTAACGCATGCATGAAGTAAGGCTCTAACACATACATGAAGTAAGGCTCTAACACATACATGAAGTAAGGCTCTAACACATACATGAAGTAAGGCTCTAACACATACATGAAGTAAGGCTCCTCTAACACATACATGAAGTAAGTAAGGCTCTAACACATACATGAAGTAAGGCTCTAACACATACATGAAGTAAGGCTCTAACACCTCTAACACATACATGAAGTAAGGCTCTAACACATACATGAAGTAAGGCTCTAACACATACATGAAGGTAACACATACATGAAGTAAGGCTCTAACACAAGGCTCTAACACATACATGAAGTAAGGCTCTAACACATACATGAAGTAAGGCTCTAAACACATACATGAAGTAAGGCTCTAACACATACATGAAGTAAGGCTCTAACACATACATGAAGTAAGGCTCTAACACATACATGAAGTAAGGCTCTAACACATACATGAAGTAAGGCTCTAACACATGCATTAACACATGCATGAAGTAAGGCTCTAACACATACATGAAGTAAGGCTCTAACACATACATGAAGTAAGGCTCTAACACATACATGAAAAAGGCTCTAACACACATACATGAAGTAAGGCTCTAACACATACATGAAGTAAGGCTCTAACACATACATGAAGTAAGGCTCTAACACACACATGAAGTAAGGCTCTAACACATACATGAAGTAAGGCTCTAACACATACATGAAGTAAGGCTCTAACACATACATGAAGTAAGGCTCTAACACATACATGAAGTAAGGCTCTAACACACACATGAAGTAAGGCTCTAACACATGAAGTAAGGCTCTAACACATACATGAAGTAAGGCTCTAACACATACATGAAGTAAGGCTCTAACACATACATGAAGTAAGGCTCTAACACATACATGAAGTAAGGCTCTAACACATACATGAAGTAAGGCTCTAACACATGCATGAAGTAAGGCTCTAACACATACATGAAGTAAGGCTCTAACACATGAAGTAAGGCTCTAACACATACATGAAGTAAGGCTCTAACACATACATGAAGTAAGGCTCTACACACAGTAAAGTAAGGCTCTAACACACATGATGAAGTAAGGGCTCTAACACATACATAACACACACAGTAAGGCTCTGCATGAAGTAAGGCTCTAACACATACATGAAGTAACTCATGAAACACATACATGAAGTAAGGCTCTAACAGGCTCTAACACATACATGAAGTAAGGCTCTAACACAGCACATACATGCTCTAACACAAGTAAGGCTCTAACACATGCATGAAGTAATGCTCTAACACATACATGAAGTAAGCCTCTAACACATACATGAAGTAAGGCTCTAACACACTACATGAAGTAAGGCACACATACATGAAGCATCATTAACACATGCATGAAGTAAGACTCTAACACATACATGAAGGTAACACAGGCTCTAACACATACATGAAGTAAGTGGGCTCTAACACATGCATGAAGTAAGGCTCTAACACATACATGAAGTAAGGCTCTAACACATGCATGAAGTAAGGCTCTAACACATGCATGAAGTAAGGCTCTAACACATACATGAAGTAAGGCTCTAACACATGCATGAAGTAAGGCTCTAACACATGCATGCATAAAGTAAGGCTCTAACACATGCATGTTCTAACATGACACATGTACTCACATCTCACACTGTTCTAACACATGCATGACACCAGGCTCTAACACATTCTGTTCTAACATGACACTGCACTCACATCACGCTGTTGTAACATGACACTATTCTCGCTTGACACTGTTCTAACATAACACTATTCTTGCATTAAACTTCACATGACAGTGTTATTACATGACAATATTCTCACATGACACTGCCATCTCATGACGCTGCTCTCATAGCTTCATTGCACACTGCAGGAACACGCGAAGGACGGCGGAGGTGTGGATGGATGATTACAAGCGATTCTACTACGCTGCTCGACCTTCATCGCGCATGCAGGCATACGGAGAGTAAGTAATCTAGCTGTACAAAGGGTAGCACCCTAGACTATAGTCAATACACAACAATCAGCATGCAGGCATACGGAGAGTAAGTAATCTAGCTGTACAAGGGTAACACCCTAGACTATAGTCAATACACAACTAGGTATGGGTATTGCAGAGAATTTTCATATTGCAATATATTGCGATGCGAAAGCATGTATTGCGATATGTATTGCAATATATTGCATGAAGTATATACTACTACTACTACTCATAATCAAGTTAATTATTGATTAATAGAGCAAAAACACAACAAAATCACTAGGCTTGATTAAGCTTTAATAACAACTTTTAATCATGATAAAATAAAAATATGAATAATATTTGGCACAAATGAAACAAGGACATATCCGAAGATTTCCGAGTGTTACGAAGTTTTCCGAATGCAAGTCAAAATACCGGTTTTCGATCAGCGTATCGCAATACGTATCGTTTTCATGTCTGAACCGGTAAATACCAGTAAACCGGTTATATTGCGCAGCCCTATACACAACAGTCAGCCAGTAGGCAGCCTCAGGAGTTCTGTATTGATGCCATTCTGTCACAAAGTCATGTCTTGATATTGTAACGTGATGGCATATTCAAGGACTCTAAAACATTACAGTTACAATGTTCATTGAGGATTTTACTATGAGTGTAGTGTAGACCTCTGAACTATATCAAGGGTCGTGGATGGTCAAGCTGCTGCGTTTCTGTGATCATGGTACACTACCAAGTTTCATCTTGATTATGTGCGTAGATTTGTCAGTGCCTTCCAGAACTCTTGGGTTTCATTCTTGTCTCCCACTTCAGTATAGCTGTATAGCTGTTCAGAGCAACATAAACCAAACCTTGCTTCCTCACTAACTAAATATATATATGAGAAAATAAGTTGATTCTTATCCTGTTTGAGGTAAGCAGGCCTCTGTAGCTTTAGGAGGGAATAATATGAACCTTCCTTCCACCTAGTGTGCAGGAAAGACGTGCTCTGCGACAGCGCCTCAAGTGTCAGACATTTCGCTGGTACCTGGACAACGTGTATCCGGAGCTAAAGTGGGTGAAGTTATTTTCAAATCTTTCATGAATTTAATTATATTAATGCTTCTTTTTTAGCCCAAATTGATCTATATACTTGAGGTACACTTCTGTAATGCCTAAATGTGCAGAGTTGCCCCCTTAACCATATCAGGATCCGTTTGTAATCGGTACATGTCTCAGATTAGCCCAGATTATAATCTGTTGTCTGTTGGTCCCAGACCCATGTTTTCTTCCTCAATTAGCTGACTTCATGAGATATGAATGAAAAATGATACAAGGTAGAATGAAGTCAATCAATCACTAACTTACACACGTAATGCGTCTGTACTGATGCCAGATCCCAGAGTTTCCTGCTGTTCATCTGACTTAATGTCATCTGCAGGTTGCCAGTGAATGATGAGTTTGCCTATGGCCAGATTTACCAGGACAATCAGTGTCTGGACATCATCCCCGGCCAACTCCCAGTCCTAATCAAGCTCCGTCCGTGTGTGGAATCAAAAGACTCACAGGCAAGTAAATCTTACAAATGGTCATGTCAATCTTCCTGGGTTTGACTACTCCCAGTCTCTCCTTGCTGTGTGGAAACATGACTGTCTTGATCATGGCACATTAGGCCTCAGTATCAAGGCTTGTTTTTGGTACCTGTTTGTGCCAAGTACCTGACAGAATAGGTTCTTGGTACCTGTGTAGGGGGATTACCTTACAGATTAGGTTCTTGGTACCTGGGTGTGGGTATTGTCTGACAGATTAGGTTCTTGGTACCTGTGTGGGGGGATTGTCTGACAGATTAGGTTCTTGGTACCTGTGTGGGGGAATTGTCTGACAGATTAGGTTCTTGGTACCTGTGTAGGGGGATTACCTGACAGATTAGGTTCTTGGTACAGGGGTGGGGTTATTCTCTGACAGATTAGGTTCTTGGTACCTGTGTGGGGGATTGTCTGACAGATTAGGTCTATGGTCTTGGGGGTACCTAGGTTCTTGGGGGATTGCCTGACAGATTAGGTTCTTGGTACCTGTGAAGGGGGATTACTTGACAGATTAGGTTCTTGGTACCTGTGTGGGGGAATTGTCTGACAGATTAGGTTCTTGGTACCTGTGAAGGGGGATTAAGGGGGATTCTTGACAGATTAGCTTCTTGGTACCTGTGTGGGGGAATTGTCTGACAGATTAGGTTCTTGGTACCTGTCAAAAAGACTTTGACTAAAATTGGTGGTAGTCATCCTTTCCTGAACAGAAATTGAAAACCTTTCAATACCCTCTTTCCACTGTGTGGGTATCCAAAAACTAATGACATATATCAACAGAACCACTCTATATCAACATTACTGAGGTACATCAAACCGTACATTGGACATAGTCATAACTATTTGATATATTCATGAAGAGTATTTTACCATTGCGGGAGATATTGATGACTTTGTCTTCTTGTCTGATATTAATATCATGTTGCACCAGGAGTGGTCATGGCGCAGGAAAGGAGTCATCGTCAGTAACGGCATGTGTCTGACAGCAGGCATTCAGGAGACACACTCCTACCTTGTCGTCCAGTTCTGTAACTATGGTGACAATCAGGTGAGACAGTTACCTGTTTTATGATGATTACTCTCATTTGTCCCTGCATCTAGATCTGTATTGGCTTCACTCATGTAAAGATCCAGGTTAGAACCGGTCTTCACCAACCCATGCTATGCTTGTAGTAAGAGGTGATTAATGAAATCAGGTGGTCAAGCTTGCAGTGTTGGTTGCTGCGTATCATCCCACTCCTTGGGTGTAGATCAATACTCATGATGTGAATCACAGTATCAAGACTGTCACCTCACTGGAATATGCTGAGTGTGGACCCATGAAGATCCGGGTTAGAACTGGTCTTCACCAACCTATGCTTGTCGTAAGAGGTGACTAACAGGATCAGGTTGTCGACACATGTCATCGTGTCCCAATTGTGTAGATTGATGCTCAGGGTGTTGATCACTGGATTGTCTGGTCCAGATTAGATTATTTACAGACCAGTACCATATAGCTGGAATATTGGTTAGTGTGGCGTTAAGCAACAAAAACAGTCCCATTTCGGAAACGGGAGCAGATCTGAATCTATTTTGGTTCAATAGGGCTGAAGCCAAATGCTGATTGAGATTCCTGAAAGTAGTAGCATCTTTTGCTTCCACCGCTTACTGACATTGACCGTTGAAAATCTCCTCAGAATTTAATGGCTGCTGGAACATCAAATCTTTAGTAGACTCTGGTATATTCCGAACTGAGCTTAACTTTTGAGACCTCTCCATAGCAGTGAGTCTGCCCAGCGAATACACCTGGTCCTGAGTAGCATCCGATACACTCTGATATAACACATCCAGGAAGGAGTGAGCCAATGCAACCTCGTGCACTGACATAGCCACTAAGGTATCTTTTTTAACTCCCGAATAGTCTTTGAACACCGGAAGAAGCAGAGCATGGACACCAGCCACAAACCAGTATATATATGATAGTATGTCAATAGAAGAATGGGCTGCAGTATCCAGTTCCTTGAATTCTCTAGGAAGACATGGTATGACATTGTCTCTGTGACTCCTAGCCTCCAGTAAACTAAAGTCCTTGTCCAAATGAGGCAAACTAGCTGGCAGATCCCGACTGTGGATGGCATAGGCTGGTCTCTGAGGAATCCTAGGTAATGACTGTAGCGAAGTAGACTTGGCCAACGCCTCATTGTAATTATCCAGGGTAGCCTTTACAACTGAAGAATGTGGTAAAGATAACATCGGAGTACATTCTGGTGGTAAACATCCGGACGACCCCAGCTCAATCTCCTGTTCCATAGTATCCATAGGAGGCGGCAAAATAATTGGATAAGAGCATGTAGCATTTCCATTTTCTCCTTCAAGGACCATCCCGGTATATAGTCCTCCGCAGCTGGATGGTAAAGTAATAAAACCCTCCTTCGTAACTAGTTCTGGGTTAGCCGCCGGATAAGCCGTGTGTCCATCTGAATCCGAGAGGTCCGGGACTAACAGAAGAAAAGGAGGATTGTCCGTGTCAATGAACTCGTAACCGAGGTAGACCGTGCACCATCCGTTACACTCCCCGTAGAGCAAGCTACTCCATGCTGTGCGTGAGCCGTGGAATCCGGGTTATATAACGGCTGATTAGGACCCATGCCGATCACCTTAACCCGGCTAATGGGATCCTGACCAAGCCGTGCCGGGGATGCCGAATCACCCGAGCGTGACACGAGCCGGCTCGGCAGGCAAGGTAGCTTGGGTGCTGACCCCTAAGGGTTGACAGCCAGGGACCGTGTCCCTCCCGCTTGAAGCCTTAGCGTCTCCCACCCACGCAACCCGGCTTCAGGACGTTGGTGATGCTGGACTGAACCGAGCAGAGCACCGTGCCAGCCTACGGGGAATGACTCTTGACCTTGGGACCTAGCATGACCTTTATCGTATGAGTCATATAGATAAGCCGCATTTTGAGTTAGGAAGCTGGAGAAATCAATTTGCCTCTGTAAGTCTGTAAGTCATGGAAGGACTGCCGCATGGATGATTGAATTTCCGACTTGAAAGAAGACAAAAGCTCCGTAATAGATGACAAATCAACCTGGCTAGATGATGAACTTGATCTAGATTTAGATTTTGACTTAGAGTCCGATTTAACTGCTGAACTAGAAGGCTGAGAGGCAGGTATTTTACTTCTAGAGGAATCTGAGATCTTTGACAATTTTCCCTTCCTCGCCTGATTACGTGCTTTATCCATACTAATCCATTTCCCCGTAGATAAGGCAGAACATAACAAACAGAGATCTTCAACTGTGCAAGGAGCTCCAACAAAACATGATGCACATAGAGAATGCGGATCTAACTCAGCCACTAATTTTTGACATTGAACGCACTTATTTTGCGACATGGCGGGAAAGTTCAAAAAGGCAGGAAAAATTCCTAAACTACACAAAGTCATAAGTTTTACAATAAGCAATAATAAAGCCACACTGCCATTGTCTGGTGACCAAATGTGATCTCTACTGACCGTACATTAATAAATATGTAAGATTAAACTTGACAATAAACCTCTTCCACTCTGACACGTCCGTGTGTGACCATACAGAAAAAAGTATGATGGTGTTCAAAGAACAATGCTGTGTCGTCACAGCTAAGGGAGATAACCATGTAGATATTTAGGCATACCACTAGGGATAATTATGACTTAAAAAATTTTAATCTCTTTCATTCTGTATGTATCTGTGTCACCCACAGGAAACTGGCAACCATAATCCAAAAGGTTTTATCTATGCCTATGTACTTGGGTCCACTGTCGTACAAATCATAATAAGGACTGTAACTTTCAAATCTTCCAAGATTACAATGTCTTGAACATGTGTGGTATTGTTATCTGTGCAGCGCTGGTACCGCCATAAGAACCACATCATCCATCAGGCCTCCAGCTTGTGTGTAGACAGTCACAAGTCAGAGACAGGACTGGTTCTGGCCGAATGCGAGGATTACCTCTCTTCACAGCAGTGGAAGATCACTGTCGAGAACCCAGCCAGTCAAGAAAAGGAATACCTGGATGACTTATAACATACATGGGATGCTGTAGGATGTATCAGGATGACTTATACCATACATGGGATGCTGTAGGATGTATCAGGATGTTTTATACTATACATGGGATGCTATATCAGGATAACTTATAACATACATGGGATGCTATATCAGGATGTTTTATACCATACATGGGATGCTATAGGATGTATCAGGATGACTTATAACATACATGGGATGCTATAGGATGTATCAGGATGACTTATAACATACATGGGATGCTATAGGATGTATCAGGATGACTTATAACATACATGGGATGCTATATCATGATGACTTATAACATACATGGGATGCTATAGGATGTATCAGGATGACTTATAACATACATGGGATGCTATATCATGATGACTTATAACATACATGAGATGCTATAGGATGTATCAGGATGACTTATAACATACATGGGATGCTATATCATGATGACTTATAACATACATGGGATGCTATAGGATGTATCAGGATGACTTATAACATACATGGGATGCTATATCATGATGACTTATAACATACATGGGATGCTATAGGATGTATCAGGATGACTTATAACATACATGGGATGCTGTAGGATGTATCAGGATGTCTTATACAATACATGGGATGCTACAGGATGTATCAGGATGACTTATAACATACATGGGATGCTATAGGATGTATCATGATGACTTATAACATACATGGGATGCTATAGGATGTATCAGGATGTTTTATAACATACATGGGATGCTATAGGATGTATCAGGATGACTTATAACATACATGGGATGCTATAGGATGTATCATGATGACTTATAACATACATGGGATGCTATAGGATGTATCATGATGACTTATAACATACATGGGATGCTATAGGATGTATCACCACCGTGTTAGTGTATGCAGAACATATTGTTTACGGATGGTGAGGTAACAGACAGTCTTAGAACAAGATGTACAGAACTGGAGATGAATGTGAGTGTGGGTGCAAATGAAATATTTCACAGAGAGAATGTCAGGTTAGAAATTGATCCCCAGTATTTTGTGCTGGTCAGTTAATGGATCAGGTGGTCCGACTCTGAGACTTGACTGATAGTGGGTCAAGATACTGCAGTGGTGCAGATTGGTGCTCATAACATCAATCACTGGAATGTCTAGTCCAGATTTGATTATTTAGTCCACTGGAATATTGTTAAGTGTGATCTAAAACAAACAAAATGCACATGCACGCACACATTGAGTCAGCATTGATTTTAATAAGTGATGACTGTACTCTTTATCTTTTAAGGGTTCGGTGGGTTAGCCTTGTGGTTAAAGCGTTTGCTTGTCGTGCTCAGGTTTGATTCCCCACATGGTTACAAGATGTGAAGCCCATTTTTGTTGTCCCCACCATGATATTGCAGGAATATTGCTTTAAGTGGCGTAAAACCCAACTCGCTCACTCGTTCTAATGCAGATAAAACTGCTGCTAACATATGCTTTCTCATACATGAGATAGACGCTCATGGTAAGGCTGTTGTTGTAGGCTACATATTTTCTCACCGATATAGTTATTTTGTAAGTATTCAGTCTGAGCTGCAACCGAGCTGAATTTAACTCCAACCTTTGGTTATTACCTGAGCTTTGTTACTGAACCACTTTATCTGCAGTATCACTGTGACAGCTTGTAGCCAAGGATTAAAGAATCCTGTAGCAAGCTCTCACACATCACACTGTACATTCAACACACAGCTGAGAGATGTAAACGACAGCATTGTTGACAGGTTTGCATGTGATAAAACTGTTTTATCACCTACTTAAGGCAGTTGTCTCAGATGAGGTGTCAAGAAGTGTAGGTGACAGTGATCCTCAAGCAGCAACAATATAACTGTTGTGTGGACGAACTGTCTCGCCTCCGTCAGGCAAATTATTGTCATACTGTCCTTTTCACAAAACAAATAGGAAGAAATTACTGTATTATATTTCAGTAATATATTTTGTAAGTAACACCTTGTTACGTGTTGTAACTTAATATGACAAACCATGCATTTCATACTGGAATATTTTTATTGTCAACATTGTTAAGCAACAGACATGTTTTAGTCAAGCTTTATATAAGTTTTTACATGTATTTGTGACCTGTGAAGATCCAGGCTAGAATTGATCTTCAGTAACCCATGCTTGTCGTAAGAGGCGACTAACAGGATCGGGTGGTCAGGCTCGCTGACTTGGTTGACACATGTCATCATATCCCAATTGCTTAGATTGATGCTCATGCTGTTGATCACTGGATTGTCTGGTCCAGACTCGATTATTTACAGACCGCCACCATATAGCTGGAATATTGCCGAGTGCATCGTAAAACTAAACTCACTCACATGTATTTGTTGTCCTATATCCCCGTGAATCAGACATGTTAGTGTAATGAAGTGTCTATACCATCACATAGGGGTCACGGCCATGCAAGATGGGATCTTGCTTGCTTTTTCAGTGTCACACTTTGTCATTGTGATTTTACATGTGAAATATACATTGTCTTAAATCAAATTATTTTTTAGATTTTTGTGTGCATGGATAAATATGTACTTAAAGTTTCTTCTGTGGGTGTACATATGATGTGTTGATGTTACTGTACAGGGTATGGAGTGGAAGAAATAAAGCATGTTTGATAGTTCCGTGCTGCCATTGAAGAAACACCAAGATGTTGTTGGGAAATGAATTGCTCTTTGATTGTGTCTTTTTATGTTGACATTGTTCTGGTCTGTGCAATTAACAGCTTTCAATTGTTATTACCTATTTCTTGTGCAATTTATTATTTTTGGTGTAATTGCCCATAATTTATCCCCACTTTGGAACAATGTGTGAATCCCAAGTGATACTGCTGGAATATTGATAGAAGCAGTGCAAAACCATTCTCACTCACCCAAATTCAGGTGTTTTAAAAGCAAAAGATGAGAGTGGTCTGACCATCTTCCTATCCCCACCATTTGTAGTAGTGTATCCATCTGTTTACAACACTGTTTAAACAAACTCTTTCTGCAGATCTTTCTAAACTCACCCTTTCTGCATCTACAGTGTATCCATCTGTGTACAACACTGTTTAAACAAACTCTTTCTGCAGATCTTTCTAAACTCACCCTTTCTGCATCTACAGTGTATCCATCTGTGTACAACACTGTTTAAACAAACTCTTTCTGCAGATCTTTCTCACCTCACCCTTTCTGCATCTACAGTGTATCCATCTGTTTACAACACTGTTTAAACAAACTCTTTCTGCAGATCTTTCTAACCTCTCCCTTTCTGCATCTACAGTGTATCCATCTGTTTACAACACTGTTTAAACAAACTCTTTCTGCAGATCTTTCTAACCTCACCCTTTCTGCATCTACAGTGTATCCATCTGTTCACAACACTGTTTAAACAAACTCTTTCTGCAGATCTTTCTAACCTCACCCTTTCTGCATCTTTCTGCATCTACAGTGTATCCATCTGTTCACAACACTGTTTAAACAAACTCTTTCTGCAGATCTTTCTAACCTCACCCTTTCTGCATCTACAGTGTATCCATCTGTTCACAACACTGTTTAAACAAACTCTTTCTGCAGATCTTTCTAAACTCACCCTTTCTGCATCTACAGTGTATCCATCTGTTCACAACACTGTTTAAACAAACTCTTTCTGCAGATCTTTCTAACCTCACCCTTTCTGCATCTACAGTGTATCCATCTGTTCACAACACTGTTTAAAACAAACTCTTTCTGCAGATCTTTCTAACCTCACCCTTTCTGCATCTACAGTGTATCCATCTGTTCACAACACTGTTTAAAACAAACTCTTTCTGCAGATCTTTCTAAACTCACCCTTTCTGCATCTACAGTGTATCCATCTGTTCACAACACTGTTTAAACAAACTCTTTCTGCAGATCTTTCTAACCTCTCCCTTTCTGCATCTACAGCGTATCGATCTGTTCACAACACTGTTTAAACAAACTCTTTCTGCAGATCTTTCTAACCTCTCCCTTTCTGCATCTACAGTGTATCGATCTGTTCACAACACTGTTTTAAACAAACTCTTTCTGCAGATCTTTCTAACCTCACCCTTTCTGCATCTACAGCGTATCGATCTGTTCACAACACTGTTTAAACAAACTCTTTCTGCAGATCTTTCTAACCTCTCCCTTTCTGCATCTACAGTGTATCCATCTGTTCACAACACTGTTTAAACAAACTCTTTCTGCAGATCTTTCTAACCTCTCCCTTTCTGCATCTACAGCGTATTGATCTGTTCACAACACTGTTTAAACAAACTCTTTCTGCAGATCTTTCTAACCTCTCCCTTTCTGCATCTACAGCGTATCGATCTGTTCACAACACTGTTTAAACAAACTCTTTCTGCAGATCTTTCTAACCTCTCCCTTTGTAGTAGTGTATCCAGCTGGTCAAAACACGTTAAAACAAACTCCTTCTGATGTAGAGCAGCAACAACAAACATGGGAAGCAGTTTCATTAATTTTAATTTTACAGTCATTGTTACTGATAAAGATGAAATAAACTTGTACAACATGTTCGTAAGGGATTTAGTTTGATTTCAAGACATGTTTGAGAGGAAAAAAGACATTGATAGATCTGCAAATAAGATGTCCAGTCAGCCCAATAGTGGCCACCATCACGCGTCCAGACAGAATATAGGTCATTGCTGGCGACCACTATAAATGTTCAGTCAGACCATTAGCTATCACTGATGGGCACTATAAGATGTTCAGTCAGACCCTTAGCTAACACTGATGGGCACTATAAGATGTTCAGTAAGACCATTAGCTAACACTGATGCTCACTTTAAGATGTTGACTGAACATTGGTCAGCGCTGGTGGCCACCACAAGATGTCAAGTCTGAACGCTGATTGGTGCCAATGGCCCCTGTAAGACAAACATACATTAGTCCATGCCAGTGACCACTACAAGAAAAACAGACATTGTCCAGTCTGACCATTAGTTGGTACGAGTGGTAACTACAAGTTTCAAGTCTGACCGTTAGTTCTTGCCAGCAGTTATTCGAACATGTTCAGTCCAACCATAAGTGGCCGCTGATGGCTGCTTTTATATGTCCAGTCTGACTGTAAGTTGGCGCCAACAAATATTGCAAGATGTCCAGTCTGACCATGAGTTGGTGCCGGCAGCTACTACAAGATGTTCAGTCAGACCCTTTGCTAACACTGATTGGCACTATAAGATGTCCCGTCTGACCGTTAGTTGGCACCTGCAACTACTACAAGATGTCCAGTCAGACCGTTAGTTGGCACCTGCAGCTACTACAAGATGTCCAGTCAGACCGTTAGTTCCGGTCAACAGCAGGGAATGTAGCTGCTGCTGAGGAATACAATACCACACAACGAGCTACACCACAATAAGAGCAGCCCTGGGGTGGGGGTAAATGGCTGCCCTGACATGGGAGATAGGAAGCTGCCTGACCCCCAAACAGATTGTTGGCGGGGGTAGTGTGAGGCAGTCTTGTAGTCATGGCAACCTGTGCAGACAGGGGAAGCAGGGTGCTCCACGTGCAGGAAGAGTATGAATCAGGGCGGAAGAGATTCTGGTTATAATTACTAAGATTTTAAGAGACTTCTATTTCATATACACATTTGAATGTGGCATCTGTCCACTGTATTTTATAAAGCTTGATAACATTTCAAATTTGTTGAGATGATACAAAAAAATCTACCATTAAAACACTGGCCCAAACATATATGAAAAAATGGTTCCTAATAATTAAAAAATGCCATGCTAAAAGGAATATAGAACAAAACATGACACCAACTGAGATGCATGTCCTCTTTGTCTGGTCCTAGTACTTGGAGTAAAATCTAACACTGGGGAGGGAGACAAGAGTACTTGAGTTTTCTATATGTCTACATATACATACATTCTTGTAATGTAATAATTCCCATGTAAACTTCTCCAATCAGTGACTTATGTTTCATCTGAGACGACTGATTTGTATCACAAAATACACTGATATATTTCTTAACCAATTTTCTCCAGTGTTCAATACATTACTAAACACATTCACTTTTTATAAGAAAATGCAAACTACCTTTAAAGATACATGTGCCATAAGATTTCATAGTAAAGCTGTTGTAACTGCTTCCTGCCATTTTTCACTGCTAGCACCTGTTACCATGGTTACCAGACTGAAGACTATGGTGCCAGACGACAAAGCTAAGCTCTGTACATGGGTAGTATGTTAAAAAAACAGGGTACGACATTTCAAGTGTGACAGAGAGGAAAGTTGCATTGTCTAAGCAGTAAAGTACATCTATTGTTCTTCTGCCCTAGATCATATCTTTGGCAACTGGAACAACAAGTCCATCAAATGCCATTACACTGTGTATATATGTACAGAACCTGGTGAAACCACATGCAGACACATGTTATGAAAAAAGAACTGATTGACACACGCTGCACATTCTTGAAATGTAGTCTTTCGTGGTGATATTTTGAAAATATTTTATGAAAATAATGCTTACTGAATATCTAAATGGTTGACATTTGGACTGAGTAAAAAGTCAATATTTTCACAAAGATATCACCTAGGTTTTGGAAAAAGTATATAAATAACTGCAAATGTATAAAATCTGATGAGATATTTTATTTATCAGGTAAATTAAAAAACCATGACCCATAATGAAAAGATTTAAAAGAGATTTTCATCTCTTTGAAACCCTGCTTAACCACAAAATGAAACTGATGATAAAACTTAGTATGAGGTCAAACAGCGTGAATAAAAGACTGTTCGATATGACCGGTCGAATCACTGCTACATCCTCACTGCAGCCTAGGACAAGAAGCGAGGACTGGTGAATAATAACTCAGGATGTAGGGCCATGTTAGAAACTTGGTGATGATGATCCTACCTTTCCACAAGGCGGTTTTACAAGTGAGACCAGTGCTGGAACATAGGTCTAAGTCCTAGCATGGATGAGCTTTATGGAACGAAGCCATATCATGCTAAAAACCAAGAAACAGAATTTTTAAAATCTCACAGTAACCATTGTAAAAAGCTAATAAAGCCGTTCACAAAGCCTGATATTATTCTGAAACCGTAACAAAATTCCATCGACATTCAGCCCTGTTAGACAGGACAAAAGTTTAAAACTCGATGCCATGGCGTCGCAATTTGTAGTCATTAAAAAATTATCCAATATTGTAATGTATCCCTTCAGCTTAACAAAAATATATAGTGTTGCTAGGCAACTGATGAGTTGATGACACAGGTATTGCTGGATACAAGATGTATTCTTGGGTAGCCTCATCTGCCATGTTTCAACGTTAAATATTTTATAATTCTCCAACAGTTGTGAATGTGACTCTCCTGGCACAACTACTGTACATAGTTCAACTTTCTTATTGTATCATTTCTAGTGTCACCTCCGTAACAAAGTTTTATATTTAGGTTTTCTGTGTAAAAATTTAACCTATTACCATGGAATTGTTTACTTAAAGAAAACACAATTCTTTTCTACAAACTTAACATTCTCTAAATGAATAACAATAACAAGTCTTGCAATATTAAATAAAGAATTAATTTTAAAAAAACACCAATGCACATTCTGTTTAACAACAGGAAGTATAATACTTTTGAAATGCACAACTGTCAAAATTACAAAAGATAGAACATGTAATAAATTCCTCAAAAAAATCATGAAAAAGGTGATGTAAATAAATGTCTACATCCAGAACACAAAATATTCCATATCCTTATGTTGTGATGATACAAACAGGTCTCCGTAACAAGCTATTATCCTTACCACAAATCAAAGACAGTACACACCAAACAAGTGAGCAGCAATTGTAATAAATATGGCAGCATGGTTATGAAATGAACTAAATTCATTTTTAAGTTAGTGATAGCAATATAGAGTTGTGTCCCCTACTTCACAGCCCAACAATCCACTACTACTGTAAATATAATCACAATTCCACTACATCTAGTGGATTTAATCAATACTACACCCTCTGTCATTATAAATAGGTTTCATCTAAACAGTTTCAAAGAAGTAAATATCACTCTCAATTTAAAGCCCACTAAGATGATACTGGGAAGACTGCTTCCATTCTAATCAGAATTGGAAGCGGAACAAATTTCACTTCAAATCAGAACATTGTCTATTCTAATTTGTCATTAATTACTTTACTTCAAAAGAGGTAACCATGATCAAGAATAATCTAGAATCATCAAAAGATGTTTTCTAAATGTTCAAAATATGAAAGTGACTTTTACAAATGAAACCAAACATGAGTGAAAAATTGCAGCACCCAATGTTATCCAATTTCCTGGTGTTGGTTTATATGTGAGACAGAAACATTTATCTTATTCCAAACATCAAATGTAAGTTGGGAACTTTGACAAGGTTTTATCATTTCATACAATAACTGAAAACAATTCAACACTCTTTACAAATTTACCTTGAAAAGAAACAACATGTATATCTGCCCTAACAAACTTAGAAAGGTTCAAACCAATTTCATCAAATGCTTTAACTTTCTAATTGTTCTACAATTAATGATATAAGCACAATTTCTATGGTTTTGATATAGTTTGGACTAGGCACCACAAGAAGACCCCTTGTCATCTCCACCATGTGTCAACATTAGGTACACTACAAGTGGGCAAATGAACTCCCAAAACAATATCAGCAGGGGGAGAAAATGGGATTTCTAAAATTGTATCTATAGAAAACCATTATCCTAAGGTAAAGAAGTTAACTGACTACAAGAGTCCAGTTTCCACCTTGCTGAACTTGGCTTGAATATTGTGGCTCAAGCATGGTGCCATCAGTGGCTATTATTAGGTACGTTTCACCTATGTCACTCCTGGACATCAGATTCCTCCTATCATATTACCTACATTTCCTTCAAACAAAATGGCAGCACTTGCTCAAACCATTGGATCAATATTCAAGATCTGTATTACATCGTGAAGTGCATCAAATTACTTCAGCACCTTGAATTAAAAAGAAATGGAAAATATGTGACGTCACCTGGGCATCAATTTTCAAATCCTACAACTGACCGAAATTTATAGAAAAGTTACGAAACAGATGTCCATTTTGAATGTATTATGCAGAGACTAGTTTGTCAAAACGTAACTAAAAAATCCCGGCCTAGTTCTTGATGGGTGGAAACTGGATCTTTTTTAGTCATTTATCTCCCTTGCCTTTGAAAATGACAGGAAACATATGTATTATAACATCTGGATGCACATGGCTACATATACTGCAGCTGGTGTGTGATCATCCCCAGGTTGAGAGTGTGACATCACTTCTCTCTATAGCACTATACGAACAAGCTGTTGGAAAGCACTTTTGTCTTAAATGGATTACTTGATTTCTTACACATATCACTCGTGCCCATGTGCCATTTATTTTCAGTAACAATAAATGTGGCCATTCTACCTGACACTTAATACTGCCAAAGATTTTGTAAACTCTACCGACCATAAATACTAGTAAATAAAGCATTAATCAAAACTTCCCCATTTTCTTTGGAAAGACAATAAATTTTTGATTAATATCTCAATGTCTTTGCTTTCCTACAGACAACCACAATAAGTTTTGTGGAAACAGTGATAAGTAGCCTTCACAAAACAAATATGCAAATATATCTTCCAAGCAACTCATTTGTTACTTTGGACAAGTGTTGGTGTGCATGAGGGTCAGGTCTACCAGCAAACTTGGCACTAAGACTAACACCAGGGGCTCTGCTTGAGCTGTGGACAGTGTTACATGCATCCTCTATCTCCAGGACAAGCATTTACAGTGAACCTACAATGACCTCGGGATTAGTTTTCATGCTTTTTGAGATTCCAAATTACCCACTCATGATTTTCAGTAACATTTTACTGACCAATCAAACATTGTCAGAAGGGAAAGGATAAGGGAGGTAACTGGTATTATCTAGAAATAAATGCCCAAACCAGTATTTATGGACAGAAGACACTTTTGAAATCAGTTTTCAATTTTGAATTTTTTGCAAACTCAATCATAATCAGTGAGATGTTAATATTGCCAACCCAACATTGAGACTAGTTTGTAGCTTGCATTCTGATTGGTCCTTTGGACCTGGTAGCAGAGCCAATCAAATTGGCAAATGGAAATCAAGGGGATGTAATTTGAGATTGGATAAGGGGTTAGTGTAGGTTTCACACAATGCAAGCCCTTGGGGATCTGTTACATGGTGCATTACTACCTTCTGCTTTTGCAAGGGGCACTTCATGATGTCTGAAATATACCAGTAAACCACTAGGCCAATCTTTTTTTCAAAACTTGTAGAGCTGTGACAATATATCGCAGTATCGACAATCGTGATACTTTATCTGAAGATAAATATATCGATACTTTTTTTCGTATCGTGATATGTATCGTTGACCTTAAAATTATTACCAGAAATTTACGGTGATGCCAAATTTACTCTGTTACTTGCTATCAAAATATACTTTTTGAAAGAAAATAACTTAAGATAGCATATCGTGATATGCATCGAATTGAATCGTATCATTCCAAGATATCACGACACGTATCATATCGTGCAATTTCTGTATCGTCACACCTCTAAAAACTGGGATTACGTTGACATCAGCAAAAAACTCTTAGCCTCAAAATTGTGTGACAGTGAGATTCATTTGAAACTCATATTTTGACAAACATGAAAAGGATCAGACAGCATCCTAAATGCTTCAAATACTCACTAAAATCAATTTGTCAACCGCTACTTTGGTCATAATTATATTTTAAATCTTTACGCCTCTGATGACAGAAGCCTGTAATCCATATATTGATAAAAGATTGGCCTGATGATGATGTTGACTATACATATGCAAGATGCTGCTCGACCCAACAAGTCCTACCATCCACTCTCAAGCTGGACACATCATACTTTCCTTAAACCATATTGTATATCATCAGAACCGCTTGTTTAGTCTCCAAAGTTTTAACTTAGATAAAAACATTGGGTTACACAGGTATTTTTTATCCTCACATTATTTGAATCAATGAATGGCGCATCTCCACTTATTGTCCGAAGCAGTCATCATTAGATTTATACCACCACATGATATACAGTGAGCGAGAAGCAATTAGCACCTCAAAATCAGCACCCTCATCAGCATGGATGTACAGACACACAGACAGGTTAAAGGTCACTATATATATACATATAGCATAGTCCTACTGCACTCAGAACAAGGGACATCACTCTGATTACCCTGTATATACCACTAAAAATAATTTCTCGAACAATCAATTCCTTCATATACTAATTTTAATCTATCACAGATTAAGTGTAATGGCATGAAAATATTGGGATGTTCTTTAATTTCTTTTGAGTAGGATATAAAATTTACTAAATATGTGTCTAAATGTATCTACTTTAAGATCTTTATTTCTAAATATTTTCTCTTGAATTCTTCATACAAAAATAATTATTAAATAGTTTCTGTTCATCCATGCATCCACTGGTGAACTTTGACACTACACTATTAGCGACCTTGAAGGTCATCACTGTATGTATTAGATACACACTGGTGACCTTTGAACTGTCTGTTTGTCTGCACACGCCAGGGGCAGCAAAGTCTGTCGGCTGCGATACCATGTAATTATTCTAATAATACAAACCTAATTAATTCTGGGCAATTGGTAGTTTATCTCAATCAGAATATCAATCCGTTCAATAGTTTTGTACAGGAACAAACAATGCTGATGTTACTATAATTATTTAAACCGAAACAACAGCGAAATATTTCATCAAAGCTGAATTTTTCATGCTGGACATAAGGCAATTTTTCACACCAATAATGACAAAAATCAGTGTGTTTTTCCCAGTAATAATTTCTACCTTCCTATATTATGCGTATATATGCAATATAATTTATTTCCTGTCTGAATTACTAGAATAATTATGGTACTTAAAATGGTGGGATAGCGACACAAAGGTGATCGGCCATGATGGGGAACATTGAGGAAGGTGAAACAATTAATGTGCTTACATCACATCTAGATGTTGATCCTTATCATACAAACAGCTTTATACATATATTATATTGTCACTTGGTGACATTTCTAGAACAAGACAGCACAATACAAGAAATATTAAATGCATGATGGCAGATGGTTGATGAGGAGGCTGTGGCCATGAAGTCACGTGATGATGACGAGATGGTGACGAGATGGCGATGATCATGAATGCATAGGAGATGCTAGAGGAACACTTGGAGGCCCTCGGAACATGGAACTAACAAGCACATTGATGAGATGTCGCAGTAGTGAAGCTTACAGCCAGATTATACACAAGTTCAATAAGACGGAAGGCAGGCAGGGACGAGCGCCACCTACAATTCCCGCACAACACAGCGTAGTATTAACAGTGCACTTGGTGCCATATGCTAAACAATATCATTACCTCAAAAAAAATCACATTATTACTTAAAAATAGAAGTCGTCCACAATCTCTCCATCGAACTGTAGCAGAGTCACTATCATACAAAACTTTATCACTGAAATTAGCTTGCTCTTTGGATCAAGATGCACTTATCACACACTCCCAGGATGCATTTCAGCTACATTCCCATAATGCATCACTAGTGTGGCTAGGAGGAAGTGACTGCATCACATTCTACATGCATCAGTCAAGTTGTTCCAGTTCTTGCTTCCTCTCTGCTGTGGAATTGTGGGCCTCGAGCATCTCGGTGAGAAGATCACAGAATGTAACGCAGCCCTCTCGCTTCAGCTGCTGGAAGCACGCGATGCCGCGTTCGCCCGCCTGTCGGATGTGGGTGAGGAGCAGCAGCATGGAGGCGAAGTGCTGGACATCGTCTGCGTGGTATTTCTGCACAACCTCCATCAATGCCCCCACAATCAGCTGACGCATTTCTTGGATCTTGCTGAAACTCGCCAACCGTCTCACTTCTGCAGAGTGGATACACAAAGTACTTCAGAGTTGATGAACACATTCAAATCAGAAAGATTACACAAACTAAATGTAGAAATTATTTAGAAGAAGATACGTTGATATAACCAATATTTCATGCTGCGTGTGTTGTAATTACGAACATTCTTGTTTGGAGTCATTTCCTTATATTATCATTGTGCTACAAAAAAACAAACTAGGTTTGTTTGCATTTAGTTGAAAACTGATCAGATGGTACTTGGTTGCTGGTAATTGTCTGTATCAAAGTTGTGCTGACCTGCATTGACTAATACTGTAGCTTGGAGTAGCAGCAGCTCCTCTTTGCCTACACTATATTGCACCATCTGCTCAGACACTGCGGCCACCTGTTCCAGGATCTCTGTCATCCCCGTGATGTTCCAGTGGTGGCTGAAAAATTAACACAGCATCAGTCCTCCACCTCTCATCAGGCAACGCATGAACCTTGTGTTACAGGTAACACTCATCAACCTTGTCTTACAGGTAACATTCATCAACCTTGTGTAACAGGTAACACGCATAAACCATGTGTTACAGGTAACATGCATCAATCATGTGTTACAGGTAACATGCATCAATCATGTGTTACAGGTAACACTCATCAACCATGTGTTACAGGTAACACTCATCAACCATGTGTTACAGGTAACACTCATCAACCTTGTGTTACAGGTAACACGCATCAACCATGTGTTACAGGTAACACGCATCAACCATGTGTTACAGGTAACACGCATCAACCATGTGTTACAGGTAACACTCATCAACCATGTGTTACCTGTTACACTCATCAACCTTGTGTTACAGGTAACACTCATCAACCTTGTGTTACAGGTAACACTCATCAACCTTGTGTTACAGGTAACACTCATCAACCATGTGTTACAGGTAACACTTATTAGCTAGGTGAATCAAGTAACACCCTTTAACTATGTGATTCAAGTAACACCCTTTAACTATGTGAATCAAGTTACACCCTTTAACTATGTGAATCAAGTAACACCCTTTAACTATGTGAATCAAGTAACACCCTTTAACTATGTGAATCAAGTAACACCTTTTAACTACGTGAATCAAGTAACACCCTTTAACTATGTGAATCAAGTTACACCCTTTAACTACGTGAATCAAGTAACACCCTTTGACCATGTGAATCAAGTAACACCCTGTAGCTATGTGAATCAAGTAACACCCTTTGACCATGTGAATCAAGTAACACCCTGTAACTATGTGGTTTTGGCTAGGTCCCATCAAAACTACAAAACTACACCGGTGAAGTAACTGACCGATCTAAATGGAAATCTGGGGCAAACACCAGCCTCTTGCCCTCGTGGTCCATTGATCGAAATGCACAGTTAAGGAGAAGCAGCTCCATCCAGCAGCACTCGATGAGGTGCACTTGGTCGCTCAGGGACAGATCTGTGTAGCCTGAAGTCACACAACCGATAATAGCAACATTGGGGCCTAAAGTCACACAAGTGATAATAGCAACATTGGGATCTAAAATCACACAAGTGATAATAGCAACATTGGAGCCTTAGTCACACAACCGATAATAGCAACATTGGGGCCTAAAGTCACACAACCGATAATACCGATATTGGGGCCTAAAGTCACACAACCGATAATACCAATATTGGGGCCTTAAGTCACACAAACGATAATAGCAACATTGGGGACTTAGTCACATAAGTGATAATAGCAACATTGGGGCCTTAAGTCACACAAGTGATAATAGCAACATTGGGGCCTTAAGTCACACAAGTGATAATAGCAATATTGGGGCCTTAAGTCACACAAGTGATAATAGCAACATTGGGGCCTTAAGTCACACAAGTGATAATAGCAACATTGGGGCCTTAAGTCACACAACCGATAATAGCAACATTGGGGCCTTAAGTCACATAAGTGATAATAGCAACATTGGGGCCTAAAATCACACAAGTGATAATAGCAACATCGGAGCCTTAGTCACACAACCGATAATAGCAACATTGGGGCCTAAAGTCACACAACCGATAATACCAATATTGGGGCCTAAAGTCACACAACCGATAATACCAATATTGGGGCCTAAAGTCACACAACCGATAATACCAATATTGGGGCCTTAAGTCACACAAACGATAATAGCAACATTGGGGACTTAGTCACACAAGTGATAATAGCAACATTGGGGCCTTAAGTCACACAAGTGATAATAGCAACATTGGGGCCTTAAGTCACACAAGTGATAATAGCAATATTGGGGCCTTAAGTCACACAAGTGATAATAGCAACATTGGAGCCTTAAGTCACACAAGTGATAATAGCAACATTGGGGCCTTAAGTCACACAACCGAAAATAGCAACATTGGGGCCTTAAGTCACACAAGTGATAATAGCAACATTGGGGCCTTAAGTCACACAAGTGATAATAGCAACATTGGGGCCTCAAGTCACACAAGTGATAATAGCAATATTGGGGCCTTAAGTCACACAAGTGATAATAGCAACATTGGGGCCTTAAGTCACACAAGTGATAATAGCAACATTGGGGCCTTAAGTCACACAACCAATAATAGCAATATTGGGGCCTTAAGTCACACAAGTGATAATAGCAATATTGGGGCCTAAAGTCACACAACCGATAATAGCAACATTGGGGACTCAAGTCACACAAGTGATAATAGCAACATTGGGGCCTTAAGTCACACAAGTGATAATAGCAATATTGGGGCCTAAAGTCACACAACCGATAATAGCAACATTGGGGACTCAAGTCACACAACCGATAATAGCAACATTGGGGCCTTAAGTCACACAAGTGATAATAGCAACATTGGGGCCTAAAGTCACACAAGTGATAATAGCAACATTGGGGCCTTAAGTCACACAACACACATGTAGGAGTCACACATAAAACGCTGGGTCCTAAAGTTTCACTTTAAGTTTAGTCAGGTCCTGAAGTTACAGTCAACACTAAAAACTTGTAATTGATAGAATTTGATCATCTAGAAAACAATATAGACAAGACTGCTAGATCCCCAATATATCCAGTGTGATTATGTCCTACCTGGGACGTGCTTGGCCCAGTTGATCAAGTAGACTAGTTCTCTGTCCGCCAGCTTCACCAGTGTGTTTAGTAGATGGATGCGAGTGGGTGGCAAGTTGTGGTTGTGGTAACTCTCCAGCACGGGGAGGTCGGCCTTCTGCAGTGCCTCTAGAATCATGTGACACCGAGACCGCTTGGCACACTAACAAAATAAACAGTTACACAAATTAATTGTCTGGAAGCTGGAGCACTTGAACACATAACACACAATCCTAATGTCCACAGCACCATTAACCACAGAGAAATTTAAAACACATCCTAAAAAGATGTCACTAATCATTAAATTTGAATATTTTGCTCAAATGCAGTTTAATCTGTGAAAAGGAACATTACAACAAGTAACAATAATCAGTTGCGCCGCAAGCAGTCCTAGTGGGCATGCTGTTCTTAATATATGTATTTAACGATGCATGACAGCCAACCAAGTGAAATATGGTCCATTAAATAGTCGTCTCGATTACTTGAGAGTGACGTCTGCTGTGCCAGACAAAACATCTCACCTTGGCCGATCCTCCACTGGTGGAATTGATAGCAGCGTCGGTAGAGTCAGCACGACAACGTTTCCCCTTCCCAGCACTTCCTCCGCTGCTCTTCCTTTCTTTGCGCTGACTCCCTGTGAGTTAAAGACAATGTTCAGTGGATGTTACACACACATCTATCATCAGACTACAGAAGTGTACACATGCTGTTCCGACTCCATTCCCAATGCTACCTTTGCGCTTGTTATAACTTAACTCACATCCTTTATCATAGATGTAGGACAGTCCAAGCCATACGGTAGCTCTGAGGGACTTGACTCTAGGCTCCATTCTTTAAAGTTATTTCGGCATAAGACAATCATAAATCAAATATTTTGACATCAATGTGACAAGCCTTGGATTCATCTTGGGACAGACACTAGCAGCCATAAATAAGGTTTGAACTTTAATTCACATCAGGTACTGAAGCTGAATCTCAAACAGGTTGGTCCCCATGCTACTGAAGTGCTGCATTGACGCAAAAAGCTACGAAGTTGTCCATTGACTCGTACCTCACCAATAGAAACCAGCCAGTGGCACAAGTACAGAAATAACTTCCAATCCTTTGGGAATATATTTTCAAAAAGAAACAAGACTGAAACATCTTCAACTGATTCAGTTTACAACATCATTTGTCTATTTTTTAAATTCATTCAAGACTTGGGAAGTGAACTATGAACACTTTGCGGAGAAATGTACAGATGAACACCACGCCTGAATATCGTGGAGCAAGACCTGTCTGGGAATCACAAAAGCTCAGACAGATTATCAACTGAAGGAAAACTCATCAGTTGAACACTAAAGCCTATAGAGGTTCTCATGTGAAGCATGAGTTGTCAGCAAAATACTTAAACTCATTTGAATAAAGACCTTTCTGTTAAACACAAAAACTAATAAAGATTTTCATCAAGCAAGACTTGACTATGAAACGCATGCCTTTATCTGGGAGAGTCATTTCACCAGTAAACACAGGTATAATGGAACTAACATTATCATCTAATCCAGTAATCCAGTAATGACTTCTCGTTGCAAGTATTTCCTACAACACTGAGAACGCCAATCTGAAACCATCCTTAACAATGACTGCACCAAAACTGGTTAAACATATACATGTATATCAGCCTTGCTCATTCAGCCCTAAAGACTTAGCCCTGAAGAAGTCCGACCACATCAAGCCTTTTATGCCAATGAACTGGGAACACTTCAACATAATCCTGACAAATTGGAACGGCTGTGCCCTCTGACCCAACTCTTTGTAGGTGCCCCTAATTCACCATATTGCCCTGACTTCCATCCAGGTAATAACGTCCCCTGCCTTTGTGGCCGAGAACCCGACCCACTCCCACCATATCGGGTGACTCTGGCACCACACCTTCCAAGTCCACACAGCCAACATAAATCCACAAACAACAATGAACTTCTATCCCTGTAGACAGTATAATCAATACCCTGTTAGAAAATGTTCATACTTAAGGGACTGGTCATTTATTAAAGGGGTGTGGGGGTCAAAAGGAATCAGGGGAGGGTCATTCCCCCAAAAATGACATTAAAAGAGGGTAAAAATAATATTGTACACAAACAAATGACATTTTACTAATAAACATAAAGTGCTTTTGCATTTTGTCTTAAAGAACGGTCAGAAAGAAAATGTACAAGAATATGGGAGGGAATTGAATAATATCACAAGCATTGGTGGTGAGGGTAATTGTTTTCAGTGTCTCAGAACCGTCAACCCTGTAGCTGTAGTGGTTCCTTATAGGGACTGAGTTCAAGTATATATGGGTATATCTCAGTCAACCCTGTAGTATGTGAGTTGTTCCTTATAGGGACTGAGTGAGTGGTTCCTTATAACTGTATATATGGGTATATCTCAGTCAACCCTGTAGTATGTGAGTGGTTCCTTATAGGGACTGAGTTCAAGTATATATGGGTATATCTCCAGTCAACCCTGTAGTATGTGAGTGGTTCCTTATAGGGACTGAGTTCAAGTATATATGGGTATATCTCAGTCAACCCTGTAGCTGTGAGTGGTTCCTTATAGGGACTGAGTTCAAGTATATATGGGTATATCTCAGTCAACCCTGTAGCTGTAGTGGTTCCTTATAGGGACTGAGTTCAAGTATATATGGGTATATCTCAGTCAACCCTGTAGTATGTGAGTTGTTCCTTATAGGGACTGAGTTCAAGTGTATATGGGTATATCTCAGTCAACCCTGTAGTATGTGAGTGGTTCCTTATAGGGACTGAGTTCAAGTGTATATGGGTATATCTCAGTCAACCCTATAGCTGTAGTGGTTCCTTATAGGGACTGAGTTCAAGTGTATATGGGTATATCTCAGTCAACCCTATAGCTGTAGTGGTTCCTTATAGGGACTGAGTTCAAGTGTATATGGGTATATCTCAGTCAACCCTGTAGTATGTGAGTGGTTCCTTATAGGGACTGAGTTCAAGTGTATATGGGTATATCTCAGTCAACCCTGTAGTATGTGAGTGGTTCCTTATAGGGACTGAGTTCAAGTATATATGGGTATATCTCAGTCAACCCTGTAGTATGTGAGTGGTTCCTTATAGGGACTGAGTTCAAGTATAGATTGGTATATGTCAGACATTTCAAAGCACTTCACTATCAGAGTGAAATCAAAGCACGGCCATCTTTAGGTGTGTAATTCTAGACTGACACAGATCCAAATCTGAACTATTCCACAGTTCTATTCAGAATAATGGTACATGTCGAAGTCCTTCAACATTAGACGTGAAACTAAGACACACTGACACACAATACCTGGCTGGCTGTGTGCCTTAAAGACATGGCAGACACACAAGGGCAGTGATGTACATGCACAACACAAAATACACATCATCTATTTTCATAAATAAATGTATTTTACGGTTCAGTTTTGTAAGGCTAAAATGAATCATCACCTTATAATCAAATCAGGTATTTTTCATAAGGACAAGCTCAAGGCATGTCCTAATGCAAATACACGGATTGACCTTGTCACAGTACATGCCCCAGCTACACTAATGTGTTAAAACTGCTGGATCATTACGTACCACTGTTAACTAATCTAAGTGAGTGAGTGAGTTTAGTTTTACGCCTTTTTTTTTAGCAATATTCCAGCAAATACACCAGAAATGGGCTTGACACATTGTACCCCAGTGGGGAATTGAACCCGGGTCTTCGGCGTGACGAGTGAACGCTCTAACCACTAGGCTACCCACCTCGCCTTAATCCAAGTGATGGACCCTAATACAAATGAATATACTGAGTAACAAAATTAATTCCCTTTGTTTGAACATCACATGTCACGCTACTGACGTCATGAAGATGTTCAGATACAACACTTCCTGAAATCCATCAGTCTACAAGTAGTTACTTTGTTTAACACAGATGGCATAGCTTACACATTTATCTGGTTCATGGATCTGCAAAATGTGGAAAACGTTCTTTCAAACAATTTCATCCATTCCTTAATGTAGATAATGAATCAAAGAGAAACTCCAAGCTCCACGTTCCATTCTTGCCCATCCTCCCAACCAGCCATACTTCAAAGGGATCGAGGGGCGGTGAGGTAGCCTAGTGGTTAAAGCGTTGGCTCGCCATGCAGAAGACCCGGGTTCGAATCCCCACATGGGTACAATGTGTGAAGCCCATTTCTGGTGTCCCCCGCCATGATATTGCTGGAATATTGCTAAAAGCGGCGTAAAACCAAACTCAGTCAGTCAGTCAGTCAGTCAGTCAAAGGGATCCCTTTACAATACAGGTTATAGGTACAAGGGCAAAACATCTACAAACCTAGCCACTGCTGATGATACGATAGCCATCAAGTTATTAGAGACCATATTTTCAAATTTTTGTCTTAAACTTCGGAAAACTAAATAGATGTTATTAATGTCCCAAGTATAGAGAGTTTGATCTCATAATATACTTTTGATGTCCCGTTTGTAAAATTTCAAAATCTATTTTCTTAAATTCCACAAGAATTTCCCACAGGGACATTTCAGGTGACCAGATGAACTTTATTTCAAAACCAACATTATTGTTTGTTGATCTGATAAGCCCAAATTTGATTGAAATAAATACCTTTCACTTCACAATTGTTTATTCCATACCAATAGAAAATATCTGAAAATAACACTTGAACTCAAAGGAGCCTTCTTGCCCAACCTGAAGTATGTATCAGTATTTAACACTACTACTTGTGTAAACTGTATAACACGTACAGAGGTCTTTGAAATGAATAGTGTTCATTCATATCACCCTTTGTCAGTACCTTCAATGAATATGAGCTGCAGTGACGCTTAATGTCTTTCATAACGGCTGTCATATTTCATCATGTCTGCTGCAGGTTTACAGATAAAACAAAGAAGTCCTCGATCATTGTGGCTTCAAGAACGTCACAATGAAGATAATTTCTATAACCCAGACAAAATGTGTCTACAATGAGGACCAAATTAGTTTGTTTTATCCGACTGAGTAGCTGTGATTACTGAAGGGGAGAGACTGTCTCGCCTGGGCCATCTATCAGCGAATGGCTTCAGGCTAGAGTCGGCCAGGCAGAGCCATCGTAGCCATTGAAGCGTGGCCAGTCTGTCACCGGGAAGCCGTTGCATCATAATAATGATGTCTGTTTACCAAATATTGATCCTGTCCCAGTCTGACGACAGTTATTTATATCCCGTCCAGACAGGGAAAGTAGGTCAGTGCTGCATGTGTTGTGTGCTAGCGGAGTATTAGGTTCAAATACCAGGAAACCTTACTGTCTGACAATAAGACCAGCTGTACTACTCAGTTTGACGTCTTGAGACGTCTCCGTCTCAGGTGACTGGTGAAGGTACAGCCAGACACACAACATCCAGGTGACCTAACATTCGTCACTGATGTCAGTCAGTCTCAATCAGTGGACCAGGTGTGCTACAGGTACTGACGACTGTCTCAAGTGACTGGTGCAGGCACAGCCAGACACACAACATCCAGGTGACCTAACATACGTCACTGATGTCAGTCTCAATCAGTGGACCAGGTGTGCTACAGGTACTGACGACTGTCTCAAGTGACTGGTGCAGGCACAGCCAGACACACAACATCCAGGTG